TAAAGTTATTAAAAAGCTATAATAAAATTGTATTGATATAAATCTTTATTTTTTCCAAAAATATACCTACTAAAACACTATAGAACATTTTGTAATAAAAATTGTCAATTTCATAACAAATAAATGTCTCTAAAACGATAATATATATATACCTAAAATGATCAACTTAACTAAATTCTTTTTGTTTATTTAGATATTATTTTTTTTTTTTTTAATTGATTAGATTTCTTTTTTTTTAAGTAACTTTTACAGCATTGCTATTATATTTCATCTTGAATACTTTAGAAAATTATAATACACGCACAACTTGTGTAACACGAAAACCACGACTGCTTCCAAACGCGTTTCCACACACAAGTTTTCTTGTATTCATATACCTAATACCTTTATAATATATTATATGTTTTTTTGCATCCCACATAAAAAAAACGTTAACAGGCAGTCACGTTTCCTTTGGAATTAATAATTCAAAGTCAAACAGTTCTCTTTGTATAGATAATTCTCAATGAGTCTAACACGATTTTTGATATTTGCATCGTAACTACTAGCTCATACATTCAGTATAGTAAAAAAGGCGACCAGAAAGTTTCAACGCAAACAAGTTCCAACGAATATTTTAAACAAATTTTACCGGATATTGTTTATATAAGTAATTGAAAATGTAATGGTTACTGCATAGACGATATAATAAAATTATAACTTCTGTTAAAATATTAATTTAGATACTAATTAAATATATTATATTGTTTTTATTATTATATATTATTATATTATTATTTATATTATTTAATATTTATTATTATACCAACGCGCGATGTACTGATTACAAAAAAATTATAAAATACATTCATTAATTGTAATAGTTAATTTTTTCATTATTGTTAATTAGAGCTTAAACTAAATGATTTTACAAATAAATGTAGCTATTAAAGAAAAAGAACCTAAACAATTAACAAGTTACAACCCGTTAATTTACCCGCGAACTATATCCGATGATAATTAAGTAGTGATCACTGATTACCGGCGTAAAAAGGTATGTCAAACAGTGTTTAATAGTCGTTTTATCCGGATTTAAAAGATATTTTTAAAAATAATATTAAACCACAATACTGTGTAACTGAGCTAAAGACGATGCTGGACCATAGAAATAATATTACCGCGGACTATATTCTAAACCGGTTACTGGTACCTATTATGAATAGATTAATGTTTATACATGATATTATATAGAGTTACTCACGTTACTCTACAACTATACAACTAAGATGAATATAATCAATATGCAAGCATACTTAACTCCATACGATATCATGCCGGTACACGTGGCCACAATCAAAATTATAATATAAGTAAATAAAATAGTGCGTTTATTAGAATTTTTATTTGCAAATGGGTTTTTTAGTTATTATAAGGTAAAAATTACGAAAAAGGTTCACCTTTTATTAAATCTAAATCGAGAAAAGCACCCTCGATATTGACATCAATGCGTGTTGGCTTTTAAATTTTAAAAATTAAGCCTGATGTATTTTACAAAAATAATATATAAATCTTATTTTTGTTTATCATTAGATAATATTATGTTATGTACCCACTCCTTAGTGAAAATGTCGTCAACCGTTTAACTTAAGAAATAGAAAGAGTGAAACTATTTTTTATTGTGGTTTCCCTGTGACGCGGATATTGGACTTCAAATTTGAAAATTAGACTCGGGTACTTTAAAAGTGATAAAAATGTATATCTATAAAATTGATTTTTTAATTTTCTAAGATACTGTTAACTGTACATCATTTAACACACTAGTAATATGCTGATTTGGATATTATGTCAATTTTTAGCTAGGATGCTGAACTGAGAATTATTTTATCTAGTTTCACAACGGTGTGTTTTTTTTTATTTGTCAGATCTCATGACTACTTGACGAATTTCTATGAATAAACAATCAACTTTTTAATAATACTAACTAAACTTCAAATGAGAGAGGGAGTACGAGTATTTATTATATTTTGCTTAAAATATTTCTTCGGTTATGTTCTAGTGGCTAGTCTCGTTAAAAACGTGTACTACACCACAAATATATAAATAGCGTATAACAATAATCGTTAATCAAAATAATCATTTAACTTAACATTACCATTTTAAACGGATAATGTATAAAATTCAGTTATTTAAGGCGGGTTTTACAACATTATAAAAACAACATGTCGAATATACATAAAATAATATTATACACGCGAATAATATGGTAAAAATAATATTATATAAATAAAATTTAAATTGCACAACTCTAGAGTTATAATATGATAGCTGTTTTAAATATTTACCAGCAGAAGTCAACAGGCAAGAGGCTATATTTAAGAATAAAAATTATTGCACAATGTTTATAATGTATAATTTACTTTCTAGATTCATAAAATATGCATTTGCCCATTTTCGATCGTCCACACGACATAATATTGTTGACCCTCCGTTGATTATTATCGGTTAGATTAAGTAAGTTTTTTTAAAACCCTTTTTTTTTAAACAAAACAAGCCCTGAACCGCATTTTACATACGTAGCCTCTCCAACGCCATATTTGAAATTCATAACTATTTACCTACTCTTAGGTACGAAGAATTTGCAAAAAATACAACCTAGTAATCAAGTCGTTATTAATTTAAGGTGATAATTCATTCTCAAAACGCTCCCCGAACACGTTTCATATCATATAAATGTTGAGTACTTAAACTCAACTAATAACTATACTTATTCAATTAAATATCCGTTTCGAATGAAGTTAAATTATCGACTATTACTCGAGTTGGTTGACTAACAATAATAAAAACTGGAAAGAACATTTAACATTGTGATAAGTTATAACTCTATGTAGGAATAACTGAAATACAAAATAATAAGAAACCAGCACAGTAAAAATACTAGGTAATGAAGTTAATGAATAGTGAAGCTGTAAACTAGACCATTGAAACCGTGTACAGTAAAATACAAGTAATGTACTTATTTTGAATGTTAATATACATATAACCATAACTGATAAGTAAAAAACTTTGATAAACACATTTGTTATATTATTTCGTTATCGTAACACAAAAAAAGGCCATTAAGTCAAAATGCATAGACAATGTAATATTTAAACGAAAATTAGAGATAATAATAATATATTGTGGGAATAATAAATATGTATGAATTATATTCTGTTTTAACTAGAATCATATTTAAAAGTGGTCCACGTGTTGTGTATTTAAAACATTTACAAACTGGAATTGCGATTTAAAATTTTTATTTTTTTTCATAAAAAACAAATAATTTACTTTTTTATGGGGGGATCTTAGATTATTAGTTTTTTTTTATTGGGAACAATTTTAACAACATGGATCATTAATTTACAGTATATACGATTTAGTAACGGAAAACAAATGGATGTTGATGTCTTTTTTTATTACTTAGTTTTTTTTTATAAATACCTTAAATGATTACAGCCAAAATTCTGATACTTAGCCAAGCGATGAATTAGATTCTAAGCGAAAAAGACAAGTATTTCAACACTGAAATATTACAAAAATGACAGAACATTTATTTTCGAGTCGAGTAATTTTTATTCTTTTTTAACGAAAAACCAGTTGGAAAAATAAGTCCTTATTACAATGACGGTTTAAAAAAAAAAACTGTACAAATTATATTAATATTTTTCTCATATAGGTATGGGTGTTATCACGAATACTTAGTTTAGCTAGAACTCTCTCGGAAATGACCATATTATAAAGTAGTATTATATTAGAGAGCAGCTGTGGCAATAAGCCGTTAACCCTTTCAGAAATGGATTTAATTTAACTTAATTAAATTTCAAGTAAAATATTTTAAAATTAAAAAAATAATAATAATCATAAAGGGGCACTTCTGAGTGAAAAGATTAAGAAGAGAGTGTAGGGTTCATTTTGAAAAATACTAAAAATGAACAAAGAAGATTCTCTTTCAGTTGGATCGGTATTAGAGATTGGTAAAAAATACAATTAATATTCTACTTACTAGCAGGTTTGATTGAAAGCCGGACTTTTGTGATTTTGAATTTATAATCTAATTTATTAAAGCTAAAATATTGAAAATCTCATCTAATTTTTTGTATCCAAAAATCCTTATTCAAGTCATTTTAATAAATAGGCTATTTTTTTTTATATACAAATTCGAGGTATTTTTTTAGTACTAAAACACTTTAACTTCCCTAATTTATTTAACTTAAAAAATTTTAAAAATTCACAGCGGAAAATTCGTTACAAACCCAGAAAAGGGTCAGAGGAGACTAAACACCATCCCACTACTAAATTTAAAATTATTAATTTTATGTCAATTTTAAAAAAATGAGTAAAATTGTTAGGGGATGGTCGAGTAACTTATAGGCTTATGTCATTCCTCCGATTTCTTTTCAAGAATTTAACTCTTGGCAAGAAAACGCTATTTTCTTCAAAATACATTTGTTCATTAGTGTTCATGAATATCTCATTTAAACGTTTGTCGATAGTTATAAAACAAGTAGGTACCCACAGCGAATCAGAATATTTCGTTGACAAATATCTATTTTTGTCCTTGTGAACTTCATTTATGTACATTTTTTTAAAAAATTTAAATAAATGGTATCGAATTACATCTATTTTTTATAGTTCTCTTTTATCAAGTGGCCTTTTACACTCTTAAAACGAATAGGCTGTTGGCTTTCGAAGAGTTATCCGGATTTCCATGTAGATACGTAATAATAGAAATGAAACAGCCAATTCGTATTTATGAACTTTTATGTAATTCGACATATTATTATTATATTGTACTGTTGGTTTACTGAACACTTTTGTACTACACGCCTCAAACCGCTGAACTATTTTAAGTGCCCCGACCACACAAGGAAACACTAATGGTAGGCGACAGGCCACAGGGCATCTTTTGACAAGGACTTTGTATGCACTACACGGAGGACTATGATGTTGGATAATATTATAACAGTAATATTTTTACTCACCAGTAATTGCTTTGTCAAGTTCGGCCGAAAACTGAAATAAACGGTGTACTGTTGTTGAAAAATAATAATTACTAACGAAAGACGTACGAAATTATGCCTAAAAAAGAACTGTGTACAAATACAAAGCGGCCATAACGTTCGACGATAGAATGTCTACTAAATAGTGAAGTGTTAACAGTTAACTGAAGCCGGAACGAGGATCGGTTTGTTTTTCACATTAGGTAGGAGTAAAATATTATGGGCACTGATAACTGATTACCGATTATGAGTTTATCTGCAAACAGTTTATTTGTTATCGGCCACACTGTTTGTAGCGACCAACTGTCGGACAAGTGTGTCCGATATAAACACCCACCTTCCAATATATATTCTATAGAATTTCCAAGCAACAAATTTCTAATGCGCATGTGCTAAAATTATTCGCCAATCCAATAAGGTCGTGCGCCAGTCAAGCATGCGCAGTTATGCGTTGTTACTTGAAATTGAACGGTAGTGGGGGGTTATATTGAACTCAGTCCGGCATACGGGCAGTAACACGATGTATCGCTACACAATTGTAAATTATCTAAGGGTTTTTGCTGATAACAGCTGATGATATCTTGTACGGCAATAATTTATAGTTTATACTATTTTAACAAAATTACTTATGAGCATCGATTATAAATAATAATAATTTAAATTAAAATAAATTAAATTTATAATCAATGCTTACAAGTTTCAATGGCAATATTTTGTAATTGTAAATAAATAAAAGACATTACGCTTAGGAACATTATTGATTAAAATTTATAATGGTTGTATACTATAATTTATTTTATATAAATTAAAAAATATGCTTCTGAGATAATGTGTATTAAATTCAACAACTAAATTAATTTTCACTAACTAATACAATAATAATTAAAATATTTTATTGGAGCATGTGATTATATAAGTAAAAACAAAAGAGTGAACTCTGTGGACAATTCTATGGAGATTTTAAAATTTTAAAATCTACAATTTAAATGTCAAATTTAATCGGAATATAATATTGCTATAATATAACATACACCAATTCTGGTATTATTAAATTCTGAAAAAATAATACTACGATTTAACTTGTGAAATTAATACATTTATAATTTTTATATTTTCCTACAACATAATGAAGATGTAATCATAAATACTAACAAAACAGGATAGACAAAATTTATTCGGATATATTTTTCTTTCCGTATTTAACCAGAAACATTTTTCTGATTTATACACATCAGTTATTAAAAAATAGAACAAGTTAAAACAAATATCTCCTTTGTTGAGATTTTTTTTAAACTCGAAAAATTTAATTTCTAATTCAATATCCAATTTTACCTCCAAGCCATAATATGATAACAAACGATAAGCATGATAATAAAAGTATTATTTCAATATATTTCATTAAGAACGTATTTTTGTTGGTTCTTCTAATTTTTCATCACCTTTAATGATATACTTAAAAATGCCATAAAGGAAAACGATTTTTAATAAGCTACCCATATATATGTTGCTTATTGTTAGTGTTTAATCGTCTTTATTTATGTCGGTTACGTTTACTTAAATTTATTATGAAACACTGTCAGTATTTACTTTGGTTTGCTCACGAGCATGTGCCTTTTCGATTACTTGTAATATCTTATATTATTTAATCCATCAATAATGTTACAGCTAAATATATCTTGACTCTTTTTTCAACTTGCAGGAAATCGAATCGATTGCATCCGTTCTCAAGATACCTATCAAATGGCTCGAACCGCCATCTGATAAAGTAAGTGATTTCATAAGTTTCATTCATTTTATAAAGAAAAAAAACATTTTATTAATGATACATAAATTTAAAATTATCACTAGTAGTTAGTAACTAGCTTATACACTGTAAAATATTCAAAGATAATTTATACTTGTTCTATATTATTATTTTTATAAAATATACATTTTTTAATAACACTGATGGACAAAAACATTATAAACAAAAACAAAAATTGTTTTACACCAAAACTTTAGTATTCCAGCAGCACCATTTGATTGGCATGGTTGAACAACATTTCACAAATAAAATAAATGGAATAACTTATTAAATGAATAATTAGTATAAAATTTCATTTGATAATTTTCAAATAAAAAATAATTTGAATAATCAGTTATAATTAAATATTAACTTGTTTTTTTATAGTTGCTTGTCTATTGACAGTAAAATAAGCAGTTGTAAATAATTGCCAATTTTTCTTTTAAGCCATGGTACCTTGTCGAGTTACCTTCAGACAAAGAAGTGCAAATGATTTCAGAACGTTCGGTAACTATGCGACGTGCAATTCACGTATGGGCAGATGAATTGACCGTGCCGAATCTTCATGAATCATTAAAACAAAAGTGTTTGAAAGGTATACTGGAACCGTACCAACTGCAATCATTCAAAGTAGACGTGGATTTATTTTGTAACTCTCAAACACAACAAGAAAAACTTAAACGAATAGAGGTATTTTTTATAAAGCTATAATTCTTTCGATAAATGTATAACAAATCAATCATTTTGTTTAGTCTTTTAGTTATATGCCTTTTGGAGGACCCGTGAATCTTAGTAATCCAGACGTAACATTTCAATTTATTGAATATTATGGTTTGGATGCGAATATAGTGCCTGAACAACCTTTACGTACATTTTTCGGCCGTGTTGTATGTTAAAAAAAAATTACTTGAGATTATTATTAGTAATTTTTATTAACAAATAAATATTATTCTTAGGTAGCAGAAAGTGGTCGTACTTTAATACATAAGTTGTCATTGAAAAAACGAAAATTTATCGGCAACACTAGCATGGACCCACAGCTTTCTTTGTTGATGGCGAACCTAGGAAAAGTTTCTGATGGGGATCTAGTACTAGATCCCTTTGTTGGCAGCGGTATGATTAATAAGCTCAACAGTTATTTAATACTCATATTTTTATATTCTAAACCTTGTATGTAGGTTCCCTATTGGTAGCTGCCGCAACTTTTGGGGGGTATGTACTTGGAACTGACATAGATTTTTTAATGTTACATGGACGAACGAGGCCTACCAGAAAGCAAACTAGAGTAATAATTATATATATTTAATTACCACTAGAACTTTTCCTTTTTAATAGTGTATAAATCATTTAATTTTAGCATATAGCTCGACAGGACGAAAGTGTTAGAGCGAATATGGAACAATATTCTTGTGCTGATAAATACATTGATGTGATTGTAGCCGATTCGTCTTTACCATGTTGGCGTGACAATTTAGAATTCGATTGCATCATAACTGACCGTAATTTATATAATACGTCCATTTATATTTTATAATTATTAAATTAACTTTATTAATTTTAGCTCCATATGGTATAAGAGAACCAACCATAAGAATAGGTGCAAAAGATAACTTGCCGGTTTTAAAAAAAGAAGGAACTCCAGTACATTTCCCGTCTAAAGTAGAATATGGCTTGAATGAGATCATAAAAGATCTTATGTGCTTTTCGTCTCGTAAATTGAAACTTAACGGCAGGTTGCTATTTTGGTTACCGGTTTTCCGAGAGGAGTACGAGGATGTACAAATGCCCAAGCATAGCTGTTTTAAATCAATTGGCAACTGTGAACAAGTACTGACAACATTCACAGCAAGAAGATTGTTAGTTTATGAAAAAATTAAAAGTCCCGAAGTAAAATATAAATATAACTCATTATTAGGGTATGGGAATTGGTATTAAATATAATAATATTGTAAATTTATTTCAGGAGACTGACGAGTGTAGATGTACAATACCTACAGCAAGTACTTTCAGAGAGAAATACTTTACGCACGGAAATGAAAATCGTTTGACTAGAAAACAAAAGAAAGAGCAAGCTGCCAAGAATAAAGACATTTGGTTTGCTAAACTAAAGGAAATGGAAGTGTAATAGTAATATATCCTTACTACGGTACGTTATTTGGAGAGAAAGTAAATGGTTATAGGCAGTGTCAATTTAGGCTGTGCTATTGTTTGTGTTGGTGCCCGTAGTAATTCGATCTAGGAAAAATTATTGTTTTTAAACCACTGACACAATTTTATATATTAATCAGAAATTGTACTGATAATACCTATTTTACAAGACTACAAGTTCAAAAAATTTCACTTCTACCCATTCAAAATTCGAAAAAGGCCCAAAACATTTTTATCCTAAATTCACAACACTATAACTTTGTTAAATAATCTAAATAGTTCCAAGTTTGTTTGATGCATCTTGTAAAATTGCATTGTTTGTAAATCGTTCACTTTGATGATCAATTGTTATACACTGCCGCCTTACCAATTTAGCTTCTTCTCAACTGCATAATAGATTTTAATAGAAAAAATTTTTTCAACAAAAGTTTATTGCCATAGGTTAAGCCTTTTGTTGATTCAAACAATTTATATTTTAATTACTTTGTTTACAAAATAAAAATAACATTTAAGAGTATTCAAATATATTGTACACCAAATCATCCCAGTCCACCACTGTGTACAATAAATACATAAAAAATAAATTAAATAGAAAGTATTTTACATTATTAAGTTTCAACATTTTTTAAATAAAACTATCATTCACTTTAACAATTTCAATTCTTTTTTTTTCAAATTTGACTAATTTATTTAAAGTTTTATGTATTATATTATACATAAATAAATTACATAAACTATGTATTTGTTTAAAAGAAAAAGTCCATTTGACGATCATGACATGTTCAAGTGTAATACTTAAAATAATTATTAACCGACTACAAAATTATTCAATTTAGTGCCAATTGCCAAATAGTAATAAAAATAATAATAGTGTTAATAAATTATTTGTGTATAAATTATACATAAAATATATTTCAGTGTAAATGCAAAAACATTTTTAAATAATTTTGTTTTCATTTTTCAATGAATAGTTGAGTGCTAAAAATAAATACATTATCATATAATCATTGGGATTGTTTTTTAATTATTTTTTAGGAACAAAAAGAATATGTTAAGTTGAAGTTTGGTTTCTATGTAGATTCTTTTATCCTCGCCAGTTTATAGATTAGTTCAACTAAACTGCTACGTTTGTTTTTCAGATCATCTACATCAACCGGATCAGCATTACGAATATCGGAATTTGCACACACAAAACGCGCTACATTTTCGGCATTACACATCAAATGGATTCCACAATCGTAACTATTTTGCTGTTGTCTGGTCGGCAGTGGCGTAATGATGTCCACAATGTCTTTAAAATAAAATTTCAATTTTAACGCTAACTTCCTGGCTTGCTTTTCGTTTGAATCCCATATGGAATCCATATGAAACAGACGTTTGTCTTGTGTTCCATACACTACTAGTGACCAATGTGTGCCACCAACCGTTTGCAGCTGTTCTTGGTCGTTTAGCGGAAAGAATATGTATGAATAATGTTTATCCTTGACCAACGGGTCGAGGAATACGGCTATATCTTCCACGTTACACTCTTTGATGCACTGTACGATTTCGGGGCTGACAAAGTATACTTTGGAGTTATTCTTGAACACTTCAGTATTCAAATACTCCATGTAGAACCCAATAACTGAATCATTCAACCATTGGTCGTCGACTAGCAGGCGAATATCAGATTCGTGTAGCAGAAAATTTTCATAACTCAATACTACCGGATCCTTTTCTTTGGACGACGTTCGACGTTTGCTCATGTTTTTAAGAAAAATAATTGAACAAGGTCACAAGCTGTACTACTTTATAAAAGTTCTAGTTGAGACTAAAAAATGAACGTTTAATCTTGAACGTTATTTATTTTAATTAATACAAAAAAAAACAAATTTCTGATATTGATAATTGATTTAATGATAAAACACAAAAGTAAACAAAAAAAATGAGGGGGGTTTACAGTGCATCCGTGTAGTAAAATAACGGATTGTTACATTTATTAGGAAAATTAGGACTGTTGAAACTAAGAAGTTTCATAATACATATTTAAATACTAGAAATTAAAACTGATCAATCGATTAAGAAGATTAAGTTTTAATTATTTGAATAATATAATGGAAATTCAACAGAAGTAGAGCACAACATATTTGTTGTTGTTTACCAAATAGAAAAAAAAATTAATATAATACGAACGCTATTTCAAAAATAAACATCGATCAAAATTGCATTTTCGAAAAGTACGTTCAAAGTGTTATCTAAAAACCCTTCGTTAAGAAGTACTTGGCCCTAATTTCCATTTTACACTACTGTAATATAAACCGTTTATTACTATAAAATTGCTATTACTGTTTTTGTTAAAAAAATCTTCCTATCATCGATATTGAAGCGTTTTATGGGAAATTTTTTTTTGAGTTAATGTTAAGCGAATATCGCAATGAGTGGAAGTCGCAATTATTTGGAGATATTTTGGTTTAACCCTAAACTTGGAAAGAGCCACATTTAAAATAACAGATATAACCACACTTATAAGTAGGTTGGTCGTGAACAATTACGTTAAAAAGTATAGACAGTAGTAGTATGTTAAAAGATACAAAGTAATAAGTATAGAAACTTCTAAAGTTATAACTTATTGTTTTGAAACTTTAAAATCATAATATTGATACAAAAATTCTTATATTTTCGGGACCGTAAGAAATCTGAAATTGGCACGTGAAAAAAGTGATAGGTAGCAGGGCGCTGGCGCGACTTGTGATAACGCTTTAATGGCGAATGGGCGGCCTTGTATTTTTTACGGGACAACACTGGCGGCCATGTTATGGAAAATTGATAACGCGAGTCATCGGGGTACCTGTTTTTATGAAATCACGAGAATTCCCTAATTCTACTGGAATCTGCTTGCAACATCGTAAATGGCCACTCTGGTACAAAATTATGATATAACTGGTTTTATCATTATAAATAATTTTTCATATAACTATTAATTTCCACCGATGATAACGAACAGGAGTAGTTGTACCGACGAGGTTATTTGAAGTTCATCTTGGGCGCAATCTTGACCGTCACTTTTAAACCGTTCAAATCAATTTTCCGTTTAGACTTAAGTGTACAATTATGTCTGCGTCCCACGTCATTATGAACAATGCTCGATTGTTGAGAAATGTCAATAGAAATACCATTAGAACCGTTGCCACGAAATGTCCCTGGAAAGTCGTCCAGGCTTACAGGTAAGTACGCATTTTGACGTTTTTTAAACGCCTAATTTAATAATTTAAATGTTAAAATGTTACCTCCTATCCCCCATCCGACAGATGTCATAATACTGTACAGTGGCGTTCGGGCAGGCAAATATCGTTTAAAAATGTTGGATACCGATTCTATGCATCCGACGTCCCTAGTCACATTAAAGTATCTTTGCCGGCTTTGTCGCCTACCATGGAAAGTGGCACCATTATTAGTTGGTCCAAGACAGAAGGTACTGTTTTAAAAAACTTGTCTACGACATTGTACAACAGTTCAATAGTTTTCATTACTGCCGTAATATCTCACAGGTGAACGGCTAAATGAAGGAGACAAGCTTGCTGAAATCGAAACCGACAAAGCTGTCATGGATTTTGAAACTCCCGAAGAAGGGTATCTAGCAAAAATAATGGTTACCGCCGGCCAAAAAGACGTTAAAGTCGGAAAGGTAATAATTTAAAAATGTATATTATATTTATTGTGTATATCATTCTCCCTCCCCACAGCTCGTATGTATTATTGTTGAAAACGAAGCTGATGTTGCTGCGTTTAAAGACTTTGTGGATGACACTCCTGCCGATGCTCCACCTCCCGCCACTCCAGCCCCTACACCATCGTTTTCTGCACCTCCTCCACCTCCTAAGCCGGCTTCTGCCTCAAAGCCGTCTCCGGCCCCTCCAAAAGCTACACCAATACCAACAGGATCTCGGATATTTGCGAGTCCATTAGCTTTACGATTAGCCGCAGAAAAAGGATTGGATTTGAACGTAAGTCAATTTAAACATTATCATTGTTATACAAATATAGTAATACGTTAAACGGTGTATTTACAGTCAATCGGTCAAGGTACTGGATTGTTTGGTTCAATTAAGTCTTCAGACTTGACTAAAGCCTCTGCCACATCCGCAGTCAAAAGTAAACAACCAGTCGCAGCAGGAGTTCAAGGGGATGGTTTCTTAGATCGTCCGGTGTCTAATGTTAGGAAAATTATCGCACAACGCCTGTTGGAATCTAAACAAGTAAATGATAGTTTTTAGTCTAAACAATAATTGTTGTTTTACTAATTATAATGTGTTTTGCAGAATATACCACATTACTACCTCACAGTTGATTTAGGATTAGACAACATAGTCGCACTGAGAAAGCGCATGAACGAGCTTTTAGAAAAAGAAGGAGTGAAATTGTCAATAAATGATTTCATTATCAAAGCGGCGGCGCTGGCTTGTAAAAAAGTCCCTGAAGCTAATTCCTCTTGGATGGATAGTTTTATTAGACAGTAAGTCACTCTTGACCTCACCTATTACCGGTGTTTTACTCAAAACATGTTAAAATTCAGGTACGACTCGGTGGACGTCAGTGTAGCAGTCAGCACTGACACCGGTCTTATAACGCCAATTGTTTTCAACGCAGATACTAAAGGGTTGGTGGCTATTAGCACCGACGTCAAACAACTTGCCGCCAAAGCTAGAGAGGGCAAACTTCAACCGCAAGAATATCAGGTATGTCATATGATTAGATATGAATGTTGCAAAGCAATATCTCTTTTTTATTGCCCATTTTTTTTCATAGGGAGGTACGTTCAGCGTTTCCAATTTGGGTATGTTTGGAGTCAAAAGCGTGTCTTCTATTATAAACCCACCTCAATCATGTATACTCGGAATTGGTGCTCTGACCCAAAGACTGATACCGGACAAGGCAAATGGCACGCGTGCTCAAGATGTGTTGCAAGTGACGCTGAGTTGTGATCATAGAGTGGTGGACGGGGCTGTTGGAGCACAATGGCTACAAGCATTTAGACGATACATTGAAGAACCTCACAACATGTTGTTATAAAAATAATTATGACTCAATTCTTAAGACCATGAACGATATATCGGTCATAATTCACGCTTACAGCAATTTTTTCTTCTGTTTTTTTTATGTTATTTGTTTTATATTTAGCTTAAATGTTAAACTGATGCTATTATGTATACTTTTATTTTTTAATTCACGTTTTTAGCCATGCTGCAAATTGTTAAGTAGAAAATCTTTTTTTTTTTTAGAAAATTCAAATAACAATACTAATTGGTCGTGAAAGAAAAAAACAAAAACTCTCTGTGGTCATATCTCGTATATTATTAATTGATAAGTAAAAAACATATTTCTAATTACTGGTACCGAGTGGAGTTTGTTGCCAGTTTATTTGACCTAAAAGAAAAAAAATATATATATAAATCAAATTCCCATGTTATATACATAGAATTACACAATTCTATTATTCTAGTTAAAAAAAAAAAAGAATTTTAAATTTTAAATTTTAAACAATTTACATGTATTATTTTTCTTACTATAAAAGCGCGCCTTAGGCTAAATTTACGTAATATCAAAATATTGAAAAAACAAAAATGCTGTTAGTTGATGCAAATTATTGTTACCTTTAAAAAATAAGAGTTTATTTAAGATTAAGATGTTGAAATCTTTTAAAAAAAAAAAGTAAATAAATTTTTATTAGATCAAAAGACAAAAAGAGTTTTGTAAGTATGTTGTTACGTATGTTCTTGAATATTTGTTCATTTTGTTTTAAGAAATAATGTGCATTTTTCCTAATATATATATAGCAGACTAATTCCTTTAAAATAAAAATAATGTCGGCTAAAAACCGATACAGAATTGTTATATATACAGATATATACATGTTTACTTAATCGATCATTCACAAAAAATAAAACAATAAAAATGAACACATCACTTTTTGTAAAAACATTAACGTTTAACACATCATGGAGTTCTTTAAGTAAATGTTCCAAACACAGCAAAAAAAAAAAAGTGGCTAAACAACCTGTTAAAAGATGAATAGTTGCATCAAAATACAAGTAATTACATTTTTTAGAATTTATTTATTAATCTAATAGATAAGCTCTCAATGTCAAACATAAAATGCTTAATTGTTCAAAGTCAAATGATAAACAGTCGATTCTATACATTTTTTTATTAATGAATGATATAACTGCAACAATATACTTAGATTTTACATACCCACAGCTAAGGACCACGGCGATTGCTCCTGATCGACTTCCTTCTTTTTAATCAAATCGTCCACCGTGTAAATATGGTCTTTCAAATTAGAATCATACTTTACCGAACCGGTGTACATAGATATCAATTTAAGGAGTCTTATTTGCTTTGACGTATTTAACGGGCGGACTTGTAACCGCATCAGCCTAGCAGCAAACCATTGTACCATTAATTATTTATTTTTTTTTTTTAATAACATCCTACTTACCATTTTAAAAATACAATTGTGTACTTATGAGGTGATTTTACTGCCGATTTTAAAATAATACTAGCGTCTACAGTCAGTCGTTTGTCGCCAAAGCAATCATCAAATTGATCATGATTACAGTTCCGCTTTTCACTACTCTTGAAAAGAACAGTGCAGAGTTCAACGACCCATAGAGCAGAAATAAGCGATTCTTGAACGACCAGACATTGCAATAGATTTGTCAATAAACCTAAATTTGATATCACTTTTAGCAAGACGCTCCAAGTGATTTTATCTAATCCAGAAATCCTATCTAAAACATAACAATTTAAAAATAAACCAGTTTAATTAATCCACGAAAAAACAATTATGAAAGTGAAATACTTTTTGCGATTTTGTGCTTCTGCGAATGAAGCAAATAACGTGTACAAAACACATTTATCAACATTGATGACGATGCTCTGTCGCTCAACAAAAGTTTGATTTTCTTAACACAATTTTTATACATTTTTGAGTCATTTGAAAGTGTTGATTCTGATAGTAATTTTTGCCTAAGAAAAATTAATTTTGCACCCATTTTTTTTAACAATCTTTGGTTATAAGTTTTTACCTCGCAACATTTAACTTTTCCATTATGGTAGGATCCTTAGACGACGTTCTGTTCAACACATAGAAATCGATTAGATCTGTAAATTCATTGATGACATCCATGTTTAAATTTGGTGTAGCAATTTGAAAATTTTCATCAACATTCCAATATTTTGTCTAATAATAAAAATTTGGAAATTAGAACATTACAAGTAGGTTTTAACCAAAATTAATATATATTTATATACTTGTAGCCATTCCAATAGAAACTCTATGGCTGCCCTAAGTTCTTCGATAGCAGGTAATTCTTGATCATGAGAAATTTTATGTCTTAAATTAATCAACCAGTGTGGAAGTTCTATACTTGCCGCTCTGGCGTACATCGATTTCTGCGGACCTTTACCTGAAATGTCAGCTATGACATTGATAAACCTATGATTACGCAATAGTTAAATTTTTTTTAAGAACAACGTTATTTTATTATGTAAATAAACATAGTCGTCACCTCATTAGTGCCATTGAGTATAATCGTGTTAAATCGTCTTTATCGGATATTTCTGTACCTTCGCCAAAGTAAGAATCTTTAACGATAACTTGTAATATTAGTTCAGTGCAATGTATGGCACGTGGTAATTCTTTTACTCTAAAAACATGGAAAAAAATATTCATAAGTACTAGCTGATACTATAACAATTACGACGCTTACCTTACTTTCCATATCAAAAGCGATCTCAGTGCTCGTTTGAAACTCTGTATATTTTTTATATTGTATATGTCATTTCTGACCGACTGCCACTCGGAACTAAGTATAACCGATTATGGAAAAAAAAAATTAAAACTAAATAAAAAATAGAAATTGTTTAAATATTTAGATTAAAAATGCTAGTTTCTATTTTAACAAAACATCAAATCAAAACTGTATTAATACTATTTGGAAAATGTAGACTTACTCCGACGACCACGGAATTATTGTTATCTCTTGCATAGTAGTAAAAGTCTTACTAACTAAAATATACTCTATAGCTGTATATTAATTACACTTATGGTTAAAATAAATGTCATCCTTTTAAAAATCGAATACTATTTTAGATTTTGGATTCTGATTTCTGTTACGCACGTGGTAGGTTGACTGTTATCATTTTTTCTCGAGCATGTTATCGCTGAATAATTATTCTGTGGCACAGATATGGATAATAAAGTTTATTATCTATATCTGTGTTCTGTGGTGTTGTTTAATTATTTTTTAAATAATTAGACAAACAAAACAAAAAAAAATTGAGTCCTGAGGATCAGACGCGGGCATACCATTTTTTTAATAATAATGTATTAAAATATAACATGTATAATAAATCAAATTTTATCTTGATTAGAAAGAATTAAATTAAAACATTTTTTAATACATTTTCAATTTTAATAACTTGATACTTAACATTTGTATTTAAAATTTGGTTTATTATTTTCAAAACATTTTTCGTTAATTTGTTTGAATAAAAAATGACCAGGTTTTCATTAATTATACTAAAAAGGCGTTCTACATTTTAAACTCTCGAAGATTAATATTAATAATGAATATTTACATTTTGAGTTATAGTTTAAAATGATCAAATAATCAACTCGGTGAAATTAAATGTTTACTTAAAAATAGATATCATGTTAAGTTTTAATTTAAACAATATGTATTTAGGAGAGAAAGTTTTTCCATAGGAACAGTTAATATTCATGTTATATTACATAAAAAAAATATTCTTCTTCTTTGAAAAATACAAAATTTTTAAAAATTATACCCAAGCTTATTACTTAAGTAAATCCTTTCCAGAATCAAATAAAAACTTATATAATTAATCTTTCATAAAATAGTTATAAAATAATTGCTGTCAAATTTTGACTTTTTAAAAAAGTTATATAAGCATGAATTAATGTACACTTCAGGACCTTATGGGTTATAAAATGAACTGTTGGTTTAAGTTAACGTTATGAATAGGTACAATACTTTTAATAAAATATTAAATAATAATTATAATAAGACATAATAATTTTATTATGTCCTAATAATTTAGTAAATTAAATTGGAATTTTTAAAATTTAATTAAGAATTTTCGAAAATAAATAACTTTTAAGTTTTCGAGTACAAAACCATAATTAGTTAATACCTGAATCAAAATATATTTTTTAAAAATATTTCCTAATTTTTAAAAACCACAATTAAGTTTGTAGTTTTACTTTTTTTTGATTTGGCTAAAAAATAAATGAACACGTACATCTATTTATATGAGACATTTACCGTTTGTAGTACTAAGAATACTTTAGTAAATAAAGGTAAATATAACAGTTCAAATACGCAGTATTGTGTGCGTTTTGTTTCAATTGAAATTGCTAAAAGGAGTATAAAAAAAAAAAAGTAGACATTTCAATGAAAATATACCATTAATAAACACTTAATTATTATTTTCTTTATTATTTAAATGTATTAAAAAGCTGAAATCACACCATCAGGATATTTATGTATTTATGTATAGAACGAGTTCAGCCGAGCCTCATTGTAACACGGAGAATCTTTCTTGGATATGTGCAATAACAGGTACGCAGGTCTTGAGAAGACACGAAAACACATTGAACATTTGTACTTTTTGAAGTGACATTTATTTTTATGCCGCAACAACGATGATGCACATTTAAAGCTCTTATCGCAAAGATCGCAATTGTGATATAACCTATTTATTCCATACATAACTGTAAACAGACACAGGAATAAGTATTTATTATTGTTGCTATTACAAGGTTACTAAAAAGAAAAAAAAATTGTTACGACTTTGGCAAGTGGAGCGATCTACAAAAATCATTGAACAATCATACGGATGCTAAGGAAAGCATACACACAACTGTCAACGTTTAAAGCTAATATAAATTACATCAATTTAAATGGAAGTAAATTTAGCGTATTTAGTGTAACAATTTAATAATAAAAAAATATATATTTATATTTTTTTTTTAACAATAATTTATGCGTATTTATAATCAACAACTGGCTATATTATTATCTTTGATAGCCCTTGTTATATTATTACGCAAAACACTCTATTTTAATTAACGTTTTTTTTTTTGTTGTGAAATTAAGCCATAAAAGAAAGTAACATAAAATTAAGTATTTTAATGATAAACAATAACATAAATAATAATAATAAACATAAAGATAAAACATTAAAATTTCACAAAATAACATGTAGGTAATAGTATTAAAATAATACAATGTACGACACAGAATAGCAACAGCAACAGTTAAAAAAAAGTTTTTTCCAACCTTACATTTAAAGATTGATGAAAAATAAAACGACCTGTAATGTTTGTGGAATCCAATATTATTTTAAACCATTTGAATCATTCTGTGGCATTCCGTGTACACATATAATTCTTAAATAAAATTATCAACCTCCCCAGTCAACAAAAAGCAATCACAAAACATAGCTAAAAAAATAATAATAATAATAAACTATAAAACACAATTTAAAGAGAGTAAAGGTCGGTGTTAACAATTTGAATAATATATATATATATGACATAATATTATAAAGAAATTCATAAGAAATAGTATAATTTTCATATAAAAATAAAACTGATTCTGTCTTTTACATAGTTATGCTGAAAAAAGTCGTACAAACGATATACAATTATCACGCTCCGTTATTTATATTTTTACATCACAGGTTTTAAGAAAATCCTTATTAAATACCTAAAGAAGTAATAAATAATAATAAATAAAAACTTCTTAAAACACAATACTATAAGCTCGTTTACAATAATATATTTAGTGGTAAATGTGGTTGTACTCACTTGCCACTTTACCGTGTACTCATGAGTGCACATGACAACACCACTGATAATATATCTTTAAAATATAATGATTCACTATTTATCAATAGTCACACAATTTAGGGTATAATTTTTAAAAATATGTGCCTCCAATATTACATTTATAAAACATTTAGCCCTATTATTTTTTTTTTTATGTTATTCAATATAGATGAATATGCACATAGAATATATGGAGTGAGATTAACATATTATATAATGTTCTTAAATACTAAACTTCAGACTGAGATTTATATAATTTCCACATATTGCGTTAAAAAAAAAAAAAAGTTATATATTAAAATAGCACGTATGATACCTGTTAGGCGCCTACAAAAAGGCAGACTGATTTTTGACTAGACTCCAAATATTATCTTGTTAATATTTTTTCAAAGAGAAAAAATTTATACATTACAAAAATAAATTAAAAATGTATACAACAAATTCTGTAGTACCCTGGTTAATGGTTATGTTAGAATACTTTAAAATATGATTTAAACTGACAACTTTATTTATTTTGTCTTAATAATTTCTTACTTGCGTTTTCAAAGGTCAAATAAATTACTTTTTTGATTTGTTGATGGTAGCAGCAAATCCATTGCCCAAATAACACGAACTGCCCTGCTTGGACGTGTGTACGTCAAGATACGCCTGTCTTGAAAATACACGATGACAAGACTGGCACTGATACTTGCTAATGTGTACTTTGTTATTGTGTCTCAGCAACGATGTCTGAAATTTGAAAGTTTTACTGCACGCCACGCAGCAAAACGATTTACGCTGGCATCTATCAGCCTCTACAATCAAAGCTTGATCGCAGTTTGGTAACTGTCCATTAGTGTAATCCAATTGTCTGTGTGTCGCTTTACCCCGCATCTGATGAAAATATAAACATATTTATTTTTAAAATACGCAAAATTGTATTTTTTATATTAAACCTATTATTATACATCAGCTGATATATTTTAATATTCTCATGGAAATTAATTGTAATGTTTGTTTACAAAAAAAAAAAATGTATGTATATATGATATGTTTTGGTAATTGTTATAAATTAAATTATGGATAATAATTCTGTGAAAAAATCTAATTTGGTCCACTACAATAAAACTTTAAGGCAAATTTTTGTAAATAACAGAAGTAAAGAAAATGTTAACTACATATCCAAACGTATTGAGATGACAATCAGTTTTGATGTCCCCCAAATCATAAGGGAAATTGTGTTTAATAACTATTATACCTATAAAATGACGATTCTCTTATTAAAAGTATCAATCGATGGACAAAAATCTAAAAATTGGTCTGGAGCTATAATTAACAAGGTACATAAAATGTTTGTTTCAGAAATAATATTGGTATTTAACAGAGTTATTAAACAAAACTTATATAGAAGCCAATATCATTAAAACTGATTACAATATTTAAAAAGAAATACTTAAATAGTGCTTAATATTTTATTTTAGAATTTGATGGACAACGCACATTCTGAACTCCAGTCTCAAAACAGGATTACCATTAAGTCATCGGAAAGCAAAACTGATTGGTCCAACATAATAAGAATAAAAATTTTGTTGAGTCAACCGTCGCCAAATTGGAGAAATTTTGGAATCGAAAATTTAAAATTTTACTGAATGAAATAATTATCACACAAACACTACCTATATGTATAAACTTTTCTCTAATATTGTTGTAAATTATACATTATACTTGGCACTTGGTTCTATGGCATACTTGATATTGGTTTTTTTTTCTTTTTAGTAGGTAGCCTAAGATTTTGTTATTGAAGTGTTAAATTGAACAAAAAATTAAACACCATACTAGCCTTTGCTTTTTGTATAGCTTGTCGCGGAATATCAGGAATGAGAGGATGTGGTGGTAAATTTAATGAATCGATCATTGGTGGTTCCATTTGTCTTCGTTTTTGATTTATAAGCAACGGATGGATATCATAACCATTTAAGTGTGGATAAAACATAGACATTGTGGATGTCGTCTTTGGGAACGCTGTCAAATCATATGAAAGTCCAGATGTTGATGGAGACGGATCGGAATCTGGCTGCTCCAATTCACCTTCGCAGTAATCATCAATGGACGATGTACAATGAACGCTTAAGCCCACTAGGTACAAGAAATCAAGTTAGATTTTAAATAGATAGAAGTCAAAATAATGACATTGAACCATTTGTCAAGTATCTACCATAAATGTACACAAGTGGTGGATTAGTAGGCCTATCATTTGTCTCAATAATGATTAAAAATCTCAACTTTGGGTTCAACTATTACATGTACTTGGCTAACTGTATCGCAATTTTTTCCCGTCTGTAGATAAGTCTATCCTGCCACAAGGTCTGTACACACCTATGGTGTCTACCAACACATGTTTATGACAAATGACAAACTTACGCCAATTATCAAGCATCTGACTACCGGATATGACTTCCGATTTGGAAAAACTAGACGAGCTGTGCGGCGAGTGGTTCAGATTGGAAGCCAATGACTCGCTGAGATCCGTCTCATCGTCCATACCATATATGTTAATCATTGAACATCTGTCGCGTACCTGCAAAATACCAACAATGCTCTTTTAGCACTCTTCCAGGCTACCAATTTATTAAGTTTATATTATTATTATCATTGTACAAAACAAGTAGTTATAAATGCCTATACTGAAGTTTACAAACTTCAAGTTTTCGCCGTGTGGCAATGCCGTCAGATGGCGATTATAGAACGTCTTTACCAAACGGATTGCTGATTCAACTCGGTGGCGGAGGCCCGGCCATAGTTTTGGTGGTTTCTTTTCTTAGGCTGCTCAACGAGATTTAAATCTTGGAAATCAACTGCGGGCCACAGATTTTTTCACGTCTAAAAACCAAAAAATAATGCGCATTGTGAACGGTAGTTTAGATTAATATTTGGGCCACTTGACGCGAGCCTATGGAGAAAAAAAAATTAGGTAATAAGAGTTTTTGAAATTACTGAAACGCACGTCCAGCGACGGGCACAACAACGGCGGCAGAATCGCGGTGCAAATTATTATCAGAAAAACAAGGCGAGGAGCAATAACAACAATCATAATAATAATAATAATAAAATAATTTTAAGAACGCAAAATAACTTACCCATTCCGAGCCTCCTGTACCTCGGTTCAGCCGCACTGCCGCAGCCCGCGCAACTAATCAGTAAAATTGGTAATGGCATTCGACGACGATAAGCGGCAACGAATATTTTGTGTGATATCGCCGGAGCATAATAATGCATAAAATATTATTTAATAGCTGCTGTTCACTGCCGCTTCCTATGGGTGTTATTTCGGTACACGGTTAGCGGTAAGTGTTAACTCCATTGTGGTAAAAAACCATAAGGTGCGGTGATAATACAGTGCGACGATTGGCCAGCGCCAATCATTTGCCGCCATTACTACACATAGATTAGTCCACGCCGCACAGTGGTCCTAATGTGAATTCTAGTCATTCAATAGTCCATTATAAAATATGCAAAAAAATATCGAAACAATTATGAATTATTAATTTTGATATGTTTCTTAGACAATACACATAATATAAAATTTCAACGTCATATGTGTATTTGGCCGGTTTTTATTGGTATTTAAAATAGTTCAGTTATTGTAGTTTGGCGGTTATTTTAATTTCAGAAAATAATATTTCGTTTACAATTTTTTTAGATAAACATTTTTTAATAATTTTTTTTTCTCAACTAAGATCAGTAAAGGAAAAAACCACTTTTTTGAAAAAAAATCGTTTTCAAACTAGTTATGATAATTTTTAATGAAAAATATTAAATATTTTACGTTTTTTTATTTAAAAGAGTAGTACTAAAAGTTACCCATTTTTTCCCATATATCAATACATAGATGTTGTAGAGCAAGTATTCAGGATTTTAAAAATATAAAACAATTATACGTCAGATAACAATTACTTAGTACACAATACAAACAACAAAGTAAGATTATTTGTTGCAACGCTATCTTACTTGCCTTGTGTACTAATTCATTTTTGTCTGTCGCAAAAAAATTTATATTTTTAAAAACTTGAGTTCTTGCTCTATAACACCTATGTATTGATATATGGGTAAAAATGGGATTTTTGTTTAAAAATAAAATATTTTTTTTCTTTACTTATCTTTTAGTTACAAAAAAAAAAAAATATATTAGAATACTTAATTTATGTTATTGTCATAGATTTGGGAAATTTAAAAAATGACCAACCAGTTAAATCAAATAAAAGATAATAGCAATATTAGGTCGTTACCTAATCATTTGTTTAAGCTTTAGTCAGTTAAAGCACAGGTTATAACTTATATAAAAATAGTTCATATAATCGTTATTAACGATGAAGTAGGTATAGTTTACACTACTATTTAATAGATCAAAATAATTTTATTCTTTTAGAATATTGCAGTACAAAATTATCACATAACATTTGTGAAACTTAATAATCGTATTTCTATGATTCTTTTAAAATATTACATTAATATCTTTATATTAATCTTTTACATTAATAGGCTAAGTATTAAAATAATAAGGTGCATGGCGGTTAGCATATTATAGATTAATATTATCGTATTATTTATTTGTAACATTTTAGCTCGTCAAAGTAAATGTTCAACATTTTAACATGTAAAGTAGGAAATTGTATTTATTTTCCATTTCTTTTAATTATCAGGAACAAAAATTACACAAATTATAAATAATATTTATTAAATTTAAATGTACATATTTATATGTATACTAAATAATTGCAACACTATTTATTACATTTTTAAAAACACATTTTCACATAAATAAGATATAATCAAACAAAGAAAATAATATCATGTTTCATCTAAAAGGTAACAATTTATTTAATTATATTAATATACCATAATAATAATTCATAAAAATTACAAGTATTTTTAAAATAGGCATATATTATTTCATATTTTACAATGTTGAACAATCTTAGCTATAATATTAATTAAATTTATGGTTATATATTTAAATACTAGAAATATGGATAATTTATTTTCTATGAAATTTAATTAATATTTATTTAAATATATACATAATTGACTTGACCAACACTCCTATAAATATATAACTCCCAAATAATTTTTTGATAATAGTTCAAATAATAACATTTTTTCACTTGATTTTGATTTATAAAAACATAACAAAAAATAATAAAACTATTTACTAACTTTTTTTAATGCAACAGTAACTTATTTTTAAATCATAAAAACCATTTAACATAACTCAACAAATTTTAATAGTCAATTACCTAACCACCATTTTTTTACTTGCGATATAAATGAATATAACGCAATATAAACAAAATCAACAATTAAACCAAAAAACGCTTACTTCTTGTAAAAAAAAACTGTATAAATAAATACAAGTTAGAGGTAACAAAGTTTCAATTTGAATGATAAATAAAATAATAAATATTGTTCTAAAATTGAATCATTAACCAAATGATTTTCTAACAGTTCACTTCAAATCGATGTATGGTAATGAACAGAACTACTTCTATTCAGTTCGTCAATCTCTTTAGCCATACAGTTTTTGTGCGCCTTAGAACGAGCATGATGGTTCAATATTTCTCTTCTGAAATTACAGCTGCCTTTAGCAAATGATGTTTTTACATCGTTTAACACCTCACTCCAGCGACGACAGCTTTTGCAAAACATAATATTTTCATGACAGTCGTACGCCAACCAATTATACGATTTTAGCCAGTCAGCTCTAAAACGATGTCGCACCTGCTGATGTTGTGCTTCTGTTGCTTGTAGTTTTGTTTTTTTTGTGCAAGACAAATCTTCAGGTAGCGTATTGTCATACACAGCACGATGAGCTGTCGTTAAATAATCATTTAATTCCATTTGGTGAGACGTTGGTGATATGTTAGGGTCTATAAGCGTATTATTCTACAACAAAAAACATAAACTATATACAATATCTAAATTATAAAACATAATTTATATAAATTATGTGAAAATAATATATCTTACATCACTATATGCATTTTCTTTGGCTTCGTAATTCTCTTCTGCACTCATCGAGCTAGAAGTTTCTTGTTTAATTACAGTATCTTTGTCATAACTATCATCATGCAATTCCGGTTTTGTCATAATTGGTCTAACCATGTCTTGGTTGTCCTGGCTCAACTGTACTGTATAATGATCTGGAGTCTATACAAATAATAGAAACAGTAAAAATATTGTTAAAAATAAAAATAAATTGTTTACTAACATTTTTTTTATTCCATATTTTAATTCGTTTAGTGTTAGTCATATTCTCTTGGTATTCAGGAAGCGATCTTTTGTCCACAATTGGTGAACTTTCTTCACCAAGACCGCGTACCATCAACGATCTGGCTGTACACAAAACTTCTTCCATAATTTCATGTTTTACAGTCACTTGGCCCTTGTACATAAAGTCCAATATGATTTCCATTTGTTCATAACTGACGCCTCTGAGGTATACTATTGGATGTGGGTGTGAATTTTGCAAAAATAGCTGTTCAAAATAAGAGCTACAAGCAGACAAAACCATTTGGTGTGCCTTCACCATATGTAACTTTTCGAAATTACTGTGACAAGCGATGGTGACGTCAACCAAATTTTCATTCTTTAAGAACGAAGACAGTACTTCGGTCAAATTACCACTATGGTTTTCCCATTTCAAACAGTATTCTTCGTTCGTGTAGCTCATTTTTACAACAATGTCAATGGAAAGAACAAATTAGAATGGTTTTATCTCGACACAAACGATTATTATAATACGAGAAAAGAGAAACGCAAATTACCGATCACATTAATTTTATTTAATATATTTCAAAATAGTCGGTAGTTTTCACAATAGATAGTCTAATAGTGGTAACAGTTTAGAATACCTATTTATGAATTAGATTGAATTCACATTACCTACCTATGTCGTATGGGCATTGGGCTATAACAATTTCTAATGTTCAATGTTATTTTTATAGATAACAAGAACGTGTTGATATTTTATTGTTATCAAATGTGCGGTAATCTAGCTACCAGAACGTTTGATAACAACATACCTACAGGCTACACGTTTGATATTATTAATTGAGGATTTCCCGCGGAAAGCACTCCATAAATCACTTTTTTTTTAATTTTATGTTGATACCTATAGCCTATAGGCTACGGCTATATTGTTTTTGAAAAAAAATGTCTTTTCTTATAAAAATTGCTATTTTGAACTTTAGTGCTTCCTCATGGATGGTTCAAAAGTTGACTTCAAAAAGACAACTAGATCTGATTTTGCAATTTATAAAAACACATCACCTGTATTTTTTTGCGCATAGCACATTATACCAATGATAAATTAGCCCCAAATTACATAAATTGAAATGTAGGTATTACAATCGATGTGGCTAAATAATTTAACTAAATAATGAATAATGAATTTAGCAAAAGAAAAACTCCATATTTCAAACAATTTAAGAGGCCGCCACTCCGTCCATTTTTAAAGAGTAAAGTATAGGTAATTTTTTGCAAAATCTTAATTTAAATGTTAAACTGTGTTTTCTATATCTATTTCACTTTGTCCACACTTTTCCACAAACACGTTTGAACGATTAATTTTTTAAGGGTATGACGTCGTCTTAAGACGTTTTTTTTGTTTTGTTTGCTGAGCGTGATAATAACGGCGACTGTCAATGAAAATTTTAGGTTACACGAAAGTGTGAATAAAACAAAGTACCGACCGTCATAATATATAAGTATAAATCCGTACAAGGGAAAGGAAAAAACGACCTGAGTCATCTGGCTACGGCTCTCTTACCTCGCTTCCACAACGACACGCGGTGAGAACACTGGAAAGTTTCGGGAGCCTCTTCAAACTTCTGGTGCACCGTCTTAGAATCTTGTTCGGTTGAAATCGGACTTTCCACTTACCAAGGTGGGACGTTCGACTTGATTATAACCTCCCCTGGTGTTCCAGAAGATAATATATCACATAAGATAAACTATTTTGTACACAATTATCTTATTACAATCAACAACGTACATATTACCTAATATTATTTACGATTTTGTAACGTGCTTCGAAGACAGTCCATTGCTTAATCGAGGCCTATACCTTTTTTGGCCGAAATTTAGAAAATTTGGAATGTTCTATTTGTACTTCAGTCTTCAGTTACACTCATGCAGCCTTCGATGTATTGTTTGTTGGCTAATATGGCTAATGTAGCACTATGAAATCCTTCTTCTTTAGGCATGTACATAAGTTCATCTTTAACAATACCTATTCTTTCTCGGTCGACAGAGTCAGTTACATAAACTACATAATCTATATTGTAATAGTAGCAACTCCACTCTCAGTAAGGTCTTATTGATGTTTGACTTCTAAGATCCCAAACTTGAAATTTAATATTTTTAAAAGCAACTTGCTCAACATTGAATCTATGGTCGGAATGGTAGTGACTACTTCGCCGACTTGAAGTCTGTATACAATATTGTGGTGTTTTTTGCACCATCTAAGTACACAACCTAATATTATAATCCTTAGCTCTTTGTGACCTATTAGACTTTTAAAACTACTGAGAAATCAATCTCCCTATTTTTATATACAAAAAAAAAAACTTTCAGGAAAAGGTTGCAACTAAAACGGATCACCGACAACAGTTGTAAACGGATAGCGATAAAATCATTACCATAAGAATAAATAAAATAAAATATAAAATCGTAATATATTTATTATTTTTAATACTTAAAATTTTTAATTCTAATATCCCAATGTCTTACATTTTAGTTAAATTAAAATTTCAAATATCATTCAACGATATCAACGTAGACAATCGCTATGGCTTAATGTACAACAGATTTTTTTTAATGTCCTCAAAAAAACAAAAACCTTCTAATCCTGAATCTAATATTATACTTCAAAGTTACAATGCGACCCCCCAGTGAAAATTTCTTAAAAATGCAATTCAAAAATGGCACTAAGGTATACTATATATTTGTATAGCTAAAGTAACAGAATGAATAAATATTACACATTTTCAGTTTATCAATATAATTTTTGTATACGTTTGTGGGTCATCCTAAAACCCGGGATCGGAACAAAAATTTGTTTTTAGGTTATGTCAGTGTAAATAGAATTTAAGGTCAATATTATGTTTATCAATGTACATTTCCAATGAAATAGTGAAATCATAACATCAGTGAATCAGTCATCAAGATTCATGGTAACTGTGTAATATCCAGTCGTATGAATTATATTATTGAGATATTGGAATGGTGGCGCTATCTATGTGTATTTAATTTATGTTAACTAAAAACAACTGGTATGCTTTAACGTGGTATGTACGCCGTGGTATCGACTATATATCAAATCATATGGTTCTTATCATTTGATCTTGATTTGTTTTTTATTAACATTAACATTTTGTAGATTTTCCAATTGTACATTATACTGTATGCCGATTCGATAATCTCTTAGGTGAGTATATAATAACATCAAGGAATGCTTTTAAAACTATTAACATTTGTTAAAATTCAAGGTATGTTTCGTACAACAATATTGAGAAGTGCACCCTGTGCTCGTTTAGTGGTTTCGGGACAATGTCGACCGAATTCGAATGCCCCGCCATCCAAGCTTGAAGTATTTATCGATGACAAAAAAGTACAAGTTGATCCCGGCACTACTGTACTACAAGTAATAAAAAATTAGTTAAACATTTTCAGTAAACAGAAATGTTTGTTTTGTACTTAGACGTGTTTTTAATTTAACAGGCTGCTGCCCTGGCCGGTGTAGAAATACCCCGATTTTGTTATCATGAACGCTTGGCAGTCGCTGGAAATTGCAGAATGTGTTTAGTTGAAGTAGAAAGGTCTCCAAAAGTAAGAATTCTTATATTTTTGGTATAAATGGATTTTACCTGACACCTTCTTTTTTGTTGCAATTTTTGTTTGCCATATAATAGTAGTCCTTTTTTTGCCGGACATGTGACATGGCTTCCAGAGCCTGTATTCACAAGGCTGCGCCATAGTCGTTTCTCACAACAATTTTCTTAAAATCCAAGTAGCTGTAACTTTTGAACTAGAAGAGTCTGCCTAATTTTGATTTCAGATTCGTAATCAGTGTAAAAAACACTATAGTATGACATACAAAAATTCGCAACAAAAAAAAGGTATCAGGTTAAGTGCATTTGTTCCATATTTTGCTTATTCAATTTGAATTATTTTATTGTATGATCTTTTTTGTATAGCCCGTTGCAGCATGTGCTATGCCAGTGATGAACGGATGGAAAATAAAAACAAACTCCGAGTTGACTCGTAAAGCTCGTGAAGGTGTTATGGAATTTCTTTTAATGAACCATCCATTAGACTGTCCTATTTGTGACCAAGGTGGTGAGTGCGATTTACAAGATCAAAGTATGGCGTTTGGTAGTGACAGATCACGCTTTGTCGACATAGATTACAGCGGCAAAAGGTAATATATTATACTTAAACCAATTTTACTACTTTATTAATTACCAAAAAATAACATTTATTTCAGGGCTGTCGAAGACAAAAATATTGGCCCACTTGTAAAAACAATTATGACTCGTTGCATACATTGTACTAGATGTATACGTTTTGCTTCAGAAGTTGCTGGTGTCGATGATTTAGGCACTACAGGCCGAGGTTCAGATATGCAAGTATGATGCCAAAATAGTTTTTTTTTTAGTACAATCGTTAATTGTATTTATTTTTATTAGGTTGGAACTTACATAGAAAAAATGTTTTTATCTGAATTAAGTGGTAATGTAATTGACTTATGTCCAGTTGGAGCGCTTACAAGCAAACCATACTCATTCACTGCTCGCCCCTGGGAAACCAGGAAAACAGACAGTATAGATGTTCTAGACGCTTTGGGCAGTAATATTGTTGTGTCCACTCGTGCTGGCGATGTGATGAGAATTTTACCACGACTTAATGAAGTACACATATTCATAAATAATGGATGGCTGGCTCTTTTTTTGATGAATATCGCATAATGTCGTTTTTAATCGATTATTTTAACTGAATAGGATATCAATGAAGAGTGGTTGTCAGATAAATCTCGATTCTCATACGACGGTCTCAAACGTCAACGACTTATCACTCCGATGGTCAAAGACAGTAAAGGAAATTTAGTACCTGTGGAATGGGAAGACGCTTTAGTGACTGCTTCGAGAGTTTTGATGAAAGCTAATGGCGATGTAATAAATTATGAATAATAACTATTGAAGTACAACTTTTTTTTTAAATTATACAATAAAAAATTTTTTTAGGTCGTGGGGGTAGCTGGTAGTTTGTCAGACGCAGAATCAATGGTATCGTTGAAAGATTTACTTAATAGATTAGGCAGTGAAGAACTGTATACAGAACAACCATTCCCAGTAGTTGGTTCTAGTACTGATTTAAGATCATCGTATCTTTTCAATAGTAGCATTTCAGGTATGAATGAAAATTGTTCTTTAATTACAAAAAAAAGTAATTTATAAAAAATTTTACAGGACTGGAACAAGCTGATTTAGTCCTTTTAATCGGCACCAACCCACGTTATGAAGCACCTTTGATAAACACTCGTATCCGTAAGGGATATGTTCACAATGAGTTAAACATCGCATTGTTGGGTCCAAAAGTTGATCTGTCATACGACTATGAAGTTAGTAATTTCTTCTAGTGTTCTTGATATGTTTTGGGGTACCCGTTACTTTCTTTTTAAAAGGCATTTAATTAAATAAAGGACACCCTAACCAAATGTGTACTTGAAAATTTTATTCCTAGCCAATACCCAAGTACCGGGTACTACCAGATATAAATCAAAAGCCCTAGTTTCAACATTTGATATGCTTTTTTTACTCAGTATTCTTCTGTTTATTAATTAATAAATAAATAGCATTTGGGCGATTCAGCAAGTACTCTCAAAGAGTTGGCCGAGAAAAAACACGCATTCTTTACAAAATTATCCAAAGCCAAGCGTCCAGTTATAATTTTGGGAGCACAACAATTTGAAGGTCCAGATGGCGAAGTTTTCTTAGCCCAGGCTCAGCAACTAGCTCAAGAGTTAACCAAAAGTGTAAGTAAATTTGTATTGACATTTTGAAATATAGTGAAATAACATGTATATACTATTTAGGCGGAGAAAGGATGGAAAATTTTGAATATCTTACAACAAGTTGCAGGACAGGTGGCAGCATTAGATATAGGTTATAAACCAAATGTCAATTTGGGTTCACCTAAAGTTCTATATTTGTTAGGAGCCGATAGTGAAGCTGTAACTAAAAACAAGCCTTCTGGAACAACCATTATCTATCAAGGCGAGTAATATTTAGTAGCTATGGACAAATATTTTACTTAAAATCTACTTGTTTTTTAGGTCACCATGGCGATGCTGGTGCTGCAATTGCTGACATTATATTACCAGGAGCAGCTTATACTGAAAAACAAGCTACCTACGTTAATACCGAAGGTCGTGCACAGCAAACTTTAATGGCGGTACAACCACCTGGAATGGCACGTTCCGATTGGAAAATTATTCGTGCAATATCTGAGGTATTTAATTTGTTTTTAAATTATTTATCCATTTAATACTAATCATTACTTATATTTTTCTCAAGGTTGTTGGTACAAAGCTACCTTACGACACCCTTAACGAGGTCCGGGATCGTTTGGCTGATGTTTGTCCCAGTTTAACTAGATACGGCGACTTAGAACAAGCTAATTTTGGAGCACAATCATCCGATTTAGTTAAAGTAAAGAACTATAAACTCATTTATAAAATATCCAACTTTTAATCATACTATTGTTTTTTTTTTATAGGACTTGGTATCCAAGTGCGTTAGTTCACCTTTAAAAGTAAAACAAACAGAATTAGAAGATTTTTATATGACCGATTCTATTAGTCGAGCTTCGCCAACCATGGCCAAGTGCATACAAGCTGTTAGAAAACAAAAAGAGTCCAAGTATTATGAAAGTCGGATTTAAATATTCTTAAATCAGTAATTTAATTAAATGTGCTAACCCGACATTCTTGAATACATGTACACGTTGGTTGGTGTAAACCAATAACATTTTTATTACGATTATTATTACTATAGAAAGTAGAATGTTGTTTCATTTTGAATTTTAGACCAACAATATAAATGGATGCAATATCCTTGTAAAAACTATTAGTATAAGTTATCTTTATTGAATTTATTTGTTAATAATTTTATTTTGAAACATTTCAAAAAACCGAAAAATTATTAATTTATGTTTTTTTTAAAGCCTAAACTGAAGTGTTCCAAAATTTTCAAAAACTACAGCCTGTAAAAATAAAGTAACGATCTATGTTAACAAACAAGTTTTTTGCTTTAAATATTTTCTAAGAGTAATTATTGGGCTTTATAATATAAGTATAAATTAAGCTAATGGCTTTGTTACTCTACTCAGATCTATAGCTTAAACAATTATTTTGTTTAAGCAATTTGTTGTAGATTCTTTATAAAAAAATTTGGGGCTGAGTTTTTAGTGAAAATTCTAAAATGAGCCTAAGATATCAAATTTTCTGTAAAAACGAAGGTCATTAGTGCGTTTAAGCCGCATTAACTACAGTATACCTACTAACTCTTAAAAAAAAAATCAGTAAATCAGTTATTAAATAATCAGTTATTATTTAATTAGTCAATTAGTTATTAATGTAGACACACTGTGTATATTTGTTTTGATTATATTTGATTCGCGACATAGATTATTTTTTTAAGAATTATTATTGAAGAATAAAACCGTATAATAATTATTCTAATAATTTATAGTATTTCACTCGTAGGTTTTAAATATCTCTCCACGCAACAACAACTTTTTGAAATGGTACAAACTGACCGTTGTTAATTCCACTGTAAATATATTAACATTTTGTTAAAAATTGTTATAAAATATAAAACTCAATTTATTCAAATAGGAAAGCTTACCATTCAAAATATCTAATGCCATTAAATGCTCCATCGGAATCACCAATTTTACGATCAAACTGAACACCTACGTGTGGCTCTGCCATTCCAACGATATAGCCAATATAACGTACCCTGCCACCAACAACTTTACCATAGTTTGTGATCACTTTGACATAAGCATTAAGTTGGAGATCGTATATTGACTTAGGCAAATAGGGTTTTCCGGTCACAGGTAGAGAACAGCATTCTGAAATTGATATTATGCAGAATTTTTGTAAATATTAAACTGGGTCAACATCAAACCTATGATTGCTTGACCTATAAAATATATGATATAATATATTTTGAATAAGCTAAGTTAAAATAAATTTAAGGTAATTATGTGTATGTCCAACAAGATCAACAAATATTCGAATCGAATCAAAAATTATTAAACACATAGATCAAAACTGAACACTTAAAAGAAGAAATTATCTGAAGAAAAATAATTCATATTTCTAACCTAAAGTGCCATGGTAAGGTTCTGAGTAACGTCTGTGCGTTTTGCACTCTTTAACATCCAAGTGACTTCCAGTAAGACTGTCAATAGCATTGCGTACAACACACTCGGATTCTTCGATGAGCGAGTCTGTTGAATCGTCTTCTGCTTTTCTCAAGTCTGGCATTGACATACGCACTTTTCTTAATTCTAAATTATGTTATCTCGATAAATCACACAATTTTCTATTGAATATTTGAATAATGTCTGACCTTTAAATGATACTTTGTTTTTGTATTTTTTTGGAATTTCATCTTCTGCTTTTAATGTGGCAGTGGATGAATATTTTACATCTTGTAAAGATGCACTTGGTTCACATGGTACACTAGCAGAACGTCGGCATTTAGTGGGAGAAGATGGAACAGATGACCAAGGTCCATAATTATGACGAGCCTCCAACGACATTACCGACGGTCTTACTTGACATCGATAGCACGATGAGTGGACTGAAAATACTGATCCAAAATCATAACGTGAAGATGATGAACCTATAGAGACATATCCAGGACTCCTTAGAAATCTGAGGAGAAAATAATGTATTAATTTAATACAAATTATAAAAGACAATACTATAGATTATGATGAAAAGTGTGAAATTTACTTTGATCTTGATGGTTCACGGCTAAGTTGTACTGGTTGTTTACATAAGTGATCGACACTTCTTGACAGTTCTGGTACCATACTAGTAAAATTAATATCCGACAACATAACCCTTCTAGATTCTGTAGTTTTCTTTGATACGCGCAGACATTGCTTGCGAGTATTTTTATCGACTGGCGCAATGAACTTTGATGGTAATGTCGTGTTCGGAGACATAGTTTTTTGGTTAACTAAAAACCCTTCTGAACGCCACTGTAAAGGCAAAGCTGTAATGTCTGTTTGGGCTTCTACCTCTTGTGTTTTAAGAGTGATGTCCTTTAAAATAGGCCGTAGAGGACTGAGAAATTTTGAGTTTCTCATGTCTTTGGTAATGGCTCCACATTTTGATATGTCCGTTTCGATCACTTTGTCTATGGAAACAAGATCTTCATTGGGAGATACGTTGGTCGTATCATCTGTAGTAAAAATCAACTCAATTTCGTCCGTTTCCTCTGAGTTTTGACTGGTGATCTGAAATTGTTTTTCAAAGTTATATGTAAGTAATCAATATATTCTATTATTATATAGTTTAACAATCTGGTATAAAAATAATGGTCAAAAGATATAAATTAAAACAACATTGTAGTGTTTAAATAACTATAAATTACAATAAAGTAATCATGATAGTTTTTATTTAATATTATACTTAATAACATTATTAACATTATTAACATTGAAATTTTATAGACTTATAAATAATTCTAACAGTTAAAGAGTTTTACAAAAAAAAAAATGTAACTTTATTGGGACCAAATTGTAGTTACATATATTTATACTGACTTATATACCTAGTTATTTATTTATAAGTATTATATTTAAGAAGTACCAGTTTTAATTTTTTTACTTCAATTTTTTGACAGTATGATTTAAGGTCTAAACATAACCCTGAAGGTAGATTTAGAGTGGGGCTATAACATAAGCTTAAAGCTCAAACTTTCTTTTTAAAGAAAGAAAACTTTTTAAATGATACATACGTATAATTGTTTTTACAATTTTACACAGAAACTTTCATATTTCATTAAGTGATTTTATGACAGTTATTGTAATTCTTGACAACTTTGTGACCTCTCCGATCCCACGTCTGGGCTGTTTTTTATTTTTATTATTTTTATTAAACAAATATTTATTAAATTAATTAATTAATTTAATTTATTTATTTATTTATTTAATTCATATTTACAAAAGCACTAGTGCAAGGAACACTAACCTTTTTGTCGTCGTTCATTGTCAGGCGAGATTTCTTTACCGATTCGAGTTCAGCTTTTGAACGTTCAAGCGCAATTCTCAACGCGATTACTGTTTTGTGCAGAGACCGAACCGTGTTCAAGTCGAAAAGACCACTGTCGTCACTGTCTGTAGCCATTTACGGACGTTAACCATTATTATACCGTCGTGGCATGTTTTTAATTTTTTTTTTATTATTATTATAAACTAAAACAAACAACAGTAAATACGAACGTACACATTAGCACTGCGGAATTGCGGAGTAGAGTTGGTTCAAGTATTGATTTAATTTTAGGCCCACCGCCCGCTTCGACGTCATGGTGCGGTGTTTGGTTTTATTCTTCCATGCGCCGTGATTACACTTTCCAAGTAAATCGTATTTCTATACTTACCGCATAAAGTAATATTACTTTATGCCCTATGATACCTACGTATTACCTAGGTGACGTAACTAAGAGGGTTGATGGTTCAGACTTCAGAGGGTAGTGTGTACAGTCACAGAATGTTCTAAACTAAATGTATTCTGTGGTACAGCTGTTGTATTCGGACCCAAAAGGTTCTACAGTAGGTGTCAGCTGATATAGACTTAATGAAAGCTGTTGGACTTGTTCAAACAGCTTTCAACAAAATTCGAGAAATGCGTTATAATTTTGAAGAAGTAGGTATAATATGAAGAACATTAAGTATTACAGCAAAGACTGAAGTGTTAACACACTTTTTTTTTTTTAATACGACAAGCAATAGGTAAAAACCTCTTATAATGCTTAACTAATAAAATACAATACTTAATAATATATTATATTCTAATCCCTATTCGTCTCTAGATTCCTTTTAAGTCTAAAATACAAATCAATACAGAGTTGTTAAATTTAATACCGGTTGGCAATTAGGTAACTAATACCTAAACTGCTAGTTAGGTACTTTTAAAATATAATAGCACATCATTTGTTTAAATAAACTATTACCTATTAATTGTAGGTATTTTGTAAGTGTAACAATTAAAAAAATAGGATATTTTAATAATCATTAATTATGTGCGCACACTGTTCAGTAGTTATTTCTAGTAACTGCATAATTATTATAATCTGTTGTACAAATAATAGTAAATTAAAGCAATCAATTTACTAATAACTTAATTGCATATTATAATTTATAGTTAGTATACTGTCGTATACGGTCTGGTCCCAATAACAAGTAGGTTTCTCCTACTTGGAAACTGTATAAATATATAGAGGAATGAAAATTATTGAAAATCTTGTTATTTAACATTGTTTTACAGAAATTAGAAAATGAACGGGTTTATGCGAATCTTTTATTTATAAAAGCAAAAAGTCAAACTTTGGTAAACTGAAAAGAACTATTTTTTAGTCATAATTCATAATCTATACACTTTAGTTATTGTAAAAATATATCTACTATCTCAGACGAGCAATAGACAGCAAAATTCAAGAACAAAAATATGTTACTAACTGTAGGTACAGGCCAGTTGGTAATTTTTAATATAGTTGTAAGTTGATAGGTAATTGTACATATTTTCTTTTTGTCAGCCAGCTGTTAGTGTTATGGTCGTAGACTATCATAGGCAGTAGGTACCCGGTTTAATATAATTCAGCCTTGTAGATTCGTTTTGCTATTCTAATAGCACACAGGGAGTCTTATGGCACAACTAATGTGGGGAGGAAAGCAAGAGAAATTCAAATCTTTCTAAAACAAAATGTCATCAACAAATAAGACGATGGCCCCAAGTAATGTTTTTAAATTGTATCGAAATTCTCAGGGAGCTTTAAGAGTTTTTATATGGTCTGAATTTCCCTGCCGGATGCCCTCAACTAGTTGGGCCAACGACGCGGAGTCCTTGGATTATCCCACGGAACAGCGATAGCTTGAGAGTTGGGATTAGATACAGAACCGAATCGATTTTCATATCAATTTAATTATAATATAATATTGAATTTCAATTGTATTTTTCAACATTATTGCCCATCTAAATATTAATATGTATATTTATCTTTGATTAATTATAGTAATTTACGCTCATGTATTATAATAATGTGTACTTGTTGCGCGTGCCGAGTCGGTATCACAATAACAGTTGCGTGATCCACTGACAAAGCCGGTATGCGCAGACATGAACTTTGACAGTGATAGTCAATACTGATAAGGTCCTGTCATGCCATTATTTTGCGAACGTTTATTTTAAACAAATACTCGGTAGGTACTAGGTACTTACACAGAAAAAATTACTTGTTTGACCGATGTGAGATGTCTGGTAGGATGTATAGATAAGTATTTATGCCTATCCCGCCTTCCAGAATTTACAAAACTGAATAGCTAACCTCAAAAGTGTGAACAAACATTGTTCAGTCTACGAATTTTAAAAATTATATTAAATAATTAAATCGCCATAAACAGGTATGTATTCTATGTCGTGTAACTAATTGTCTATTTATCTCGAAATAATTATCTTAGGAAAAATAGTATCGTCTTTGATCAAAATAGGCAAAATTTAAATTAGCCTCAAGATTATATTTTAATTGTACCATAATATAAAAATTGAATTCCAATAATATCTCAATCAAATGTTTTTAAAATAAAATGTTGACCTGTCAACATATCTTACACTTAACACATAATTGTATAGTACTTTTATAAATACTAACATTATCTTCTGGTGGATAAAAAAAAAATAATAATAATAATAATGTTAGATAAAATATAAATAATTATTAATTATATTACGTACAATTATGTTTAAGTGTTATAATGGCTTATCAAAAACCTTCTAGACAGACTCAAGATCATTAATTAATTACTATTTGATTTGATTTATTCATATTTTTTTAGTTTGATACATACCTACAATTTAATAAAAAAATGGGCGATTCAAAAGCATTAAAGTAAGTTTTAAGAAATGTATATTGAATTTATTATATTTAATATCGTAAACATTTATTTTTTAGGCCAGGAACGCTTGTTGGTTTTGGAAATCCATTGTTGGACATGTCCATCAATGGCGATGATGATTTATTAAATAAATACGATCTTAAAAGTAATAACGCTATATTAGCTGAAGAAAAACATATGCCATTGTATGAAGAACTGATAAACTTTGAAAAAGTAGAGTATACGGCTGGAGGTTCAGCTCAAAATTCTTTAAGAGTTGCTCAGGTAATATTATTTGTAATTTACTTGTGAATCGTCGTTGCCGCGAAAAAAACTTCCATGTTCTAAAACCTAATTGTTCAGAAGACACTTATACTATAGTGTCTCATAATATTTTATTACAAATTACAATACAAAATTTATACATTAACCTTAAACATCCACATATCTATAGGCAACCCCGCTTAGGAATTTCGACGTAATAAGTTGTATTATTTTCTCTATTAAAAAATCTGAACTATACAATTTTTAGAGGGCTTTTTTGGGGGGCTAAGCCTAAGCCCCCCAATTTACGCCTATGTCTAAAGCGTGTTAAACGATTTATAGTAGGTAATATACATGAGGTTTTATTTTTCATTTATTCTACAATAGAGATAGCACGTTAGAGATTTTGTCATATGATAGCTTATTTTTTTTTGTATCCACTTTCCAGGGATACCAAAACCTCAAAATTGTAAAATTGGCAGTTTTTTTAGAGGAAACGGTGAAATGTTATAAAAGAAATTCTAATTTTAAATGTTTTCCCTGTGATTTTCAGTGGATCCTAAAAGAACCAAGTGTCGCAGTATTTTTTGGAGCTGTTGGTAAAGATAAATATAGTGATATTTTAAAACAAAAAGCAAACGAAGAAGGTCTGAAAGTGCAATATCAATACACAACAGAGAAGCCCACTGGTAATTGTCATTAACATTATTAATAACTTTTTTTTTCTTTGGTGAGAAGCCGAGAAGGTACTTTGTTTTTTAATCTAAATTTATTATTAATATATAATTCAATTTTTGAATAGGTACTTGTGCTGTTATCGTGACAAATAAAGGAAAAGATCGTTCATTATGTGCCAATTTATCAGCGGCGCAAACATTTTCAGAAGATCATTTGTATGTTTCTGAGAACAAACAAATAATAGATAACGCTCAATTTTATTTAACTACAGTAAGTCTAATTTTAAGCAAACGTATTTTTATATTTTCAAAGCATAATTATACTTAAGATAGTTTGAATTTTGCTATTCAAATTATGTGTATTTTTTTTACTAAAATTATATTTTAGATAATAATTATTGATATGAAAATACGTAATTTTAACTAATTTGTTTACGTTTAGGGTTTTTTTTTACAAGTAAACGTGAAAGCCGTGCAAAAAGTGGCTGAAATAGCTCGTCAAAAAAAATGTCCTTTCTTGTTTAATATTAGCGCTCCGTTCATATGTCAATTTTACATGAACGATGTCATGTTGGTTTATCATTTTGTTGACATTTTGATTGGAAACGATGAGGTTTGTTTTATCTACTTAAACCAAAACACTTGGGTATTAAAGTTAACACTTTTTTTTTTTGTAGGAAGCTAAAGCATTTTCAGAAACACAAAAATGGAACTTGAGCGACATTGAAGAAATTGCTAAAAAGTTGAGTACTTTTGAAGTCGACAGCGGTCACAAGCGTCTTGTTGTGATCACCCAAGGAGAAAACCCAGTTATTGCAGCTAATGGTATACAATATTGTTTATAAAATTAAATATGTACTTAAAAATGCTAAAAAAACATTACATTTGAACGATTATTCTAAAAAAAAAAATTGTTTTAGATGGCGTAATCACTCGATATCCGGTACCTAAAATTCCCACTAGTAATATTGTGGACACTAATGGAGCTGGTGATGCATTTGTCGGTGGTATGTCAACGCTAATGAAAATCCTTAATTTTGTTTTTGACTAGATCTTTGTTAAGGGAGAGCATCAAATGTTATACAAATAAGGACTAAAATAAGAAGTCACTTTCTGAATTATCTACCAAACAGATTAAAAAGAAATGTTTTTTGTTATTAAGTTAAACATATTTTCTATGGGTTCGATTTTTTATTTCTGTTTTCATAACTCTATTATTAGCCATTTTATGTTATTTTCTAATAAAATAACTAATTTTCTGATAGCTTAATCAATAATCAGCCTTTAGCCCTCATAGAGAATATAGTATAGCTTCACATGAAAATATACAATTTTAAACTCATCCAATAGATACGCTGGAAAATGACTTTTACGAAAGTAATTTTTTATCTAATACGCTATAAATCGGAGAAAATTAACTTTAAAATTTTTATAACTAGAAAAACTTAACATTTTTTATACATTAAAAATAATTGGCATACCTTAAATGGTTACTAACTAATATTGCCTGCCCCTTATTCCTTAACTCGATATTGCTAAAAAATAAAATGTTTTTAACACTACAAATATATTTTACCTACAGTTTTTTTTTTTTAGGATTTGTTGGAAAGTATGTTTTGGGATGTCCAGTCGAAGATTGTATAAATTGTGGAATAAAAGCAGCGTCTTATATTATACAACGACCAGGAATCTCCAAAGGAGATCTGTTTGATGTCTAACTATTTATTTATTCTAGTAATACGCTAATTGTTGCCAATTATTATTAATATGTATTTTACTCGACTCTTAAAATGCATTTAAACTTAATATTGTATCTTATTTTTGTAACAATATATATGTTGTTAATATTTTTAATCTAGTTGAAAATAAAAAATGAAGATCGATTAAATAAATAATAATAGTTCATTGGTTATAACAAATTGACCTTACAACATAAGTACTTATTTATTTATAAAACAATATAATACAAAAAAAAAAAATAATTAACAATCGTTTAATGAAGCAATAATTTTTTTAAAATTATTTAACTGAGCTTCGTCTAACCCAATATCATTAGCGTACATAGAAAAATTTAATGCTAGCATTACCGCACAAGACTTCACGTGCGTTTTGAAATATTCTATTTTCTTCTTGTTTTGCTCATCAAACTCTCTTCTCTGAAGTTCCAACTGATTTTTCAAATTCAATATAGAACTGACGATTTGACCCAAGTGTTCCCTTACCACACCATATTCATCTTCTTTTAAAGACGCCACAGCTAAATTACATAATATATAGCAACACCATACGACGCTTTCGAACTCTTCTAATGTTTTATCTTTTTCCAACTGTCCAAAAAGGTAATTGTACAAACGAGATTTCTCAAGAAATTGGGTTATTTTGTTTGGCTTGCTTATGGTCTGTTCTTTCGATTTTGAAATACCATTTAGTTCAATTAACCTGGCGTTGGTCACTACTCGTCGATTTAATACTGTTGGCGGCAATTGTTGAATCGTGTTGGTCATTTCCTCTGTAATATGGTTTATGTTATTTATACAAAAGTTGAAAATAGTTTTCCAGCTTTGTGGTACGTTGCCGGCAAAGCTCAGACTAAATATATCTTTTCTCCTGGACACATCATTTATTGTTGCTAGATAGAGATCGTATAATGCCAATGATTTGATAATCTTTGTATCGCAGTTTAGAGCTTCGAGTAAGCCGAAACTATCTTGTGCAATAGTGATTATTGGAAATTTGACGTGCTCAGTCATAGTAAGATAAACAATATGTTGAAACGAATAAAACAAATACAACACAAACGAAATGGAAAACCACAAGTGAATTATAAAATAAATATCTGCGCACACTACGGGATTTATTCCGTACAGAGGAATAAATACAAAAAGAGTGTAAGCAAACGATTTCTTCATTGACTTCAGCACATGTTCTTGGACTTTAGACATAAACATGGTGTACTTTGTTGTTTGGATGATTGGAAAATGTAAATCCTGTACGTTGTAAATGCTCTCATAATGATATATTGCTCCAGCAATCGCACAACCGGCGTTGATCAACAACCAATGGTTCTCGTTTGCGTTGAACGAGTTTAGACAAGATAAACACCAGGCACTCGCCGAACACAAAAGGGCACAGGACATGGCTTGCAAGTGCACCCCTCTGACAGCTTTGCGTAAACGATTCTTGCATGGTACGTTGGATCGCACGTACGTCCGTAACGTCACTTTAACGAATACAAACGCCGCAACCAATACAGCTGGCACGTACAATACCGAGTACAAACTGAACGACAAGTTGAGAATGGTCCGTAACGAAACCAGCGAAGCCGATGTGTACGACAGTAAAAACGAACTCAACACGGCTTTGAACGTTCTTACGGCGAAAACGTTGTTTTTGGCCATTGTGTCGCTGTAAGTCGACGTTGTTCAATAAAATAGCATTGTTACGGTTCGACCAAAATTATAATTTACAATTGTAATTGTAATCACAAAAATCGCGTACGGGCGGTCTTTAGAGCGATTTCAAACATAGAAAAGCCAAACGGTAAATAATGATTACAAATTTAAATTTAAAAACTGAACACCCAAGTCTCATTGGTGATTTGACTATTTGACTATTTGACATTCCGTTAGAAATCGAAAATCCGAACTCGGTTTCGGATTTGCCGAAAAGCTCAATTTATAGGTTAAACCGCGGTTACTAAGCTGATACCGAAAACAACAAGGAGGTTGTGTTCAACACACAGATAAATAAAACACCTGTGGCATATATATATAACCGAAATCCCCTAGATTTCTGAATTAAATAAATTATGTTTCAGAACAAAAACGAAATTCAATCGTTGGGTTTAATCAATTTTTATGAATGTTTAATTCATAGAAAAGACATTAATTGAGGTTTAATTTTCATTTAGTACTTTACCTTTATCTCAATATCGATATCAAAGATCGTATCGATTGTGACCATGAAACACTTGTTCATGCTTTGGAATTTGGGCGTATCAGTATTCAGTATTGTCAGTTCATAACAAACACAAGCGATCTCGAGAACAATCGAATTTTAAATAAATATTTTTTTTTTTACCATTTATTCAATTTGTTTTAACGTTATTATTATAGAAAATGGTGTGCATTTACCGAAACATCTTATAAAATGAATTATCTTTTAAAATTTGTTGTGACTGCGGTAGTTCTTGCTTCACGTAAGTAAAAAATTGTTCGTTTCAAGTCAAGATAGAGTTATTCCACAGGTGTGTCCGACTATCCCCTTTCTTACAAAGGAAAAAAAAAATAATTCGTTACCTCGATTAATTACAAAGTATACATATCCAAAGCGAAATTAATTTCTATGACTTAATATTTCATAACCAATAATCAGTTAAAAACGGTTAAGTATTATTATTTTTGGGTAAAAAATCAATAAATTGTTAATAATATTTGACGTGTTACCATAGATTGTGTGTCATCACAATTTGACCAAAACATTAAATAACTATTTGGATACATTTTTAGCTTGCCCTCGTCAAAGAATAGTCAAAGATTCAGAATATCGTAAAATTCCTATAAAAAAAAATTGCCATGTTATCGTAGTGGGAGTTTTTATTTTCTATGTTGATTTTAAACATTATCTAAATTTTTAAATTTAATTACTGTACAAGTTACATGCACTAACAAACAGATTTGTATTGACTAATTGTAATTTCAATTCTATAGTATGTTGGAGTTATGAATTAAACAAAAAAGCACAAAATGTAATATACCATTAGTTGTAAGAGGATCGTGGTATTCATGGGAAAATGGCCGTAGTACAACAACGGAAATCGATGCCACTAGTATGTCTAAACGAGGCAGGTGCATTCGTTCTATGGAAGAAAATCATGTTAATTATACGTTTGTTTTTCAAAAAAGTGCCGGCGATTGTTATACTTGTGTTAAATTTATGGTTCGCACCATTAACGTGCTCGACAAAATGGAAAGTATGATTTTGTAAAATTAGTCCTGATGGAATATTTTAATTAATTTCTGTAATCTATCAAGGTGTTTGCATGACTCTGAATCCCAATGAAGATGAATCTCCAGACAAAATATGTCAATTTCAAGACACTCAATTGATAACTCTTTTTTCTGAAAATTACATACCTATTAATTGCCGTTCCAGTCTTGAAGGAGTTTGGCAATTTGCATATCAAGTAATTTAAAACTAAAAATAAGTATTATTTAAATGGAAGAATTTTGAAAGTTTAGAGTTTTTATTGTTTTAGTTCAATGACATAATGAGTACATTTTTATTTCTGCGATTTATAATTTTTAAAAATTAAATTGCAGTAGTTTAGTATGTTCTCTTTATTAAGTTATTAATATTTATATATCAATACTTGCTTTTATATTTTTTTCATCACTGTTGTTACTCCACAGAACCGTTTTCGTTTCACCGGGGAATGCAACAATCCAGAAGCTCAAATTAAGTCCTGTCAAACGGCTGGTACCCAATTTTTAATAACCAATCAAAAATTTAACATAACATACAAGAAATGCCCTGGAATGACTGGTACATTTGATGGAGGTAAGTTTTTCAAGTTCTTTAACCCCTGGATTACCGGAATAATAATAGTAACTATAAAATTAATAAAAATTTGTTTTTCAGTTGTCGAGTACAGCTGTTTAGGCGATTGGTTCGTAGACAAGAACCATTTCTTTGCGGTGGCTAACACTAAAGAATCGAGAAAAGACGAAAAATACAGATGTTTTTTGAAAAATCGAGACGACGATTTATACATTGGTGTATCAATAACCGCCGAATGCAATACACTTCAAACCGTAGAAAAAAGCCCAGAAAGATTGCACGTAAATCCAGGTAATTAACCCGTCAATTACTTATTCATAGTTGTTTTAAGCTCCAATATTATTAATGTTGAATTTTTTTTTTCTTATTTAAGTGAAAGCTGAAGTTGTAGAACCCGGTTGTAGACTGCCTCAAAACTTTAGTGGAAACTGGGTGAATACAGCCAATATGGATGCGGATGTGTTCATAAACGAAACGCACATAATCGAAACTTGGTATCCGGACCAGGCTCGGTTTAGACGTACAATATATGTTTGTCGAGAACAAAGAGGATCTCGATATATGATGGCCAGACTCACAGTTGACGGATGGTAATTTAAAAAAAGTTATTTATTATTAAATTTAAATTTTACTTAAAAATGGTTAATATTTGTATGTCTTATTATAATTAATGCTCAATAACATGTTAGTGCTTGTTTATTGACTATATTTGTCTAATTCAAATTTTGTTCTCAGTCAAAAAGATTATGTTTGCTTTGACGTTGTGCCACGACATCACAACATAATTCGTTATCGACGTGGGCTCGCTTTCATCAAGGATAATTTTCACACTGTGTGTTCGTGGGTTCAATTTCCCAACAAAGACAATTGGAAATATGACATCTTTGTCTGTAAGTATTGTTTTTTTATTAAGAGACATAACATGTTAGTTTTTTCTTTTTCAGGTACTGTTTATTGAATATATTATAATAAAATTCATTTTTGTTAAAGCGAGAACTCCTGTACCTGTAAGATGTCCGGTAGCAGGCAAATTCAATTTCACACAAAAAGGTGATTTCCTTTTTGAAACTCGTATACTAGGTGGTGTTACGTTGTCGCCGCGACCTCAGATTGGGTGTAAGGATAAGATATCGGATTTCTCGGCGTGCGATGGTGATCAAAAAGAGATAACAATCGACGAAACTTTCTGTCTTGACGTCGACCACCGTGGACAGCCAAAAGATATTTACAGCGACCCCGATTATAGGCTGCAATGTATCGGATATTGGAAGGAAAATCTGAAATCTTATTTGATAACGTACGACCCATTAGATGCAGCCAGCATGTACAGGTGTTGGGTTTATCAGCGGGCAGATCTTAATCGCATTCTCATGTCGCAATCCATCGGATCATATTGTGAACTCAGACAAGACGCTTTCAGCTTCAACTACACACAGGGAGCCACCGTTGCCGTGGAAATGACAGAATACGAACGAGAACGTAAGGATTAATATAGATACCTGTGTATAAATTCATTTTATTGATAAAATTTTAAATTTTAGGAGATCAATGTCCTATGTATTTTGACGACGGTACTAATCCGTGGATACAAGCCGAAAACTACATACAAGTATTTAGATATGGAAAAGCATCATCGATTGTAGTGTCGTCTTTCCTGCTTTCAATTGCTACATTATTTACTATAATTTTGTAAAATGTCATAGCATTTGTAATTTTTTGACATAGGCTTAAAGAAAAAAAATAACTAAAAACTTTGGTAAACATTATTTGACTATATCTATACTTAAAGTTTTCAGTTTCTATACTTTAACTTTTTTTAAGGCATTCCTTTTATTTTTTTTATTTTTTCATATTATGTTTAAAATTTAAACTTTATATTTATTTTATAACTCGACAATATAATTTTCTTACATCCAATATCACCAAGTATTGTTAATGCTTAACATAAAATAAAAATCCATAGAAATATGATAGTTAAGTTTTAACAATACTTGGCGAAAACGGGTGTATTTATATTTTATTAATGATTAAATTGAAAGATATCATTATTTATAAAACACCAACGATCGAATAAGCTTAGTATATTATTATTATTATGAAAATTGAAATGCAAAGACTTAATACAATTATTATTACATATTTTTAGTCTAATTAATGCCGTCCACTTTATGAATATTTATACTAGTTTTAAAATATGTTTTTATAATAGTGTTAAACGTTACTTATATGATATGATAATATTAGTCGATACGTTATTTGATTTTTGTAATCTTATCCGTCCATTTTTGTATTGCACTTTTGTAAATTTTTATAATATTATAATTTATACTATTATATTGATAGATTGTAATTTTTAAAAAAAATGTTTACCTTTTACCTTATTCGTTGTAGTGTCTAGCACACAATACAATATATGCATTATATATATTTAAATGTGTCGTATGATCAATACATTATGTATCTAGTTATAAAAATAAAAACATTGTGTTCATCTTTAGCCTAAGAAACCATAAGATCCTGCCTAACATTAAATGTTTAAAACTATTATTATACCAATTTTAAACAATCCTCTTTCCACTACAGTCTAGTGGAAAGACCTTGATATGCGATTACAATACCACAATATTACACACAAAAAATGTACATATTTTTCTTGCTTACCCTATGAGTCATATATAGTGGTATTATATTGAAACCACATTTTTAATATTTTTTTTTTGTGATTGTTAATTATTGTAGTGTTTTATTGAAACCCCTGTTTTTTTATCAATCCTTCGACTAAAATGTTTTAATCTAATCTGAGTACATCGTTATTTCCAGACCCGAGCCAAATTGATCGAAAATTAGAATTAAGCTATTAATCATCTAAGGAAATACAGCCGATGAGCCAATACTGACCTGAACAAGAGATTAAAATAATCGTAACTGTAATAGGAAAAAAGAAATAATTATTTTAAAAAAATGCATTAAGAAAAACAACGCAATATTTAACACATTATGTATAACATACAATATATTTATATTTTTATTATTATCATTATTATTATGCACCAAACGAGCGTTTTACAAAAAAAATCGTTCTTAATCACTAAAATTAAAATTGCACATGATAAAATTAAAATAATATTTTTGTAATACACAATATTAATAAGCTATATAAACTTTAAAAATCACAGTTGGCAAAAAAAAAAAACTCAAATCCAGTAAAAGTTTTAGTATTTACCCGAAAAATTCCCCGGTTTTTTGGACATACATCACCCCAAAAAAAAACCTTAACTGGACGGGCTTTTTTTTAAATTAAAAAAAACCCGAGCTTTTGCCAACTCTGAAAAGTTAATAATATTAAGTTTATGTATAAAATATATATATTTTATATAATTTAACTAAAAATAGTACTTGGAGAAATACGTATTATCTACGTACATAATACGTAACTGTAGTTATTAATCATAATAATTATTTCTAACTATAATACAATATAATATTATTATTATTGTTATTAACTATTATGCATTTTGTTAATTATACATTATAAATAATTATGAACGTATTATACCTATTAATATTGAAACGTAGAAAAATAAAATGGCAACTAAGTTTTTGAGACTATAAATATATATGTATACATATATTATATTATATACCTATGATAATAATAAATTTAATAATTTATTGTATATAGTATATTCTCTTAAAAAACAAAACACTTAACGTTGTTTATATTTACAAAAACCATCTTCCACCGAGGAACATTACTGAACCCGATCGAGTTAATTATATATAATTATAATACAATATATTATAATTATATTATAGTTAGCGCACTTTGTTATACTGTTGTTATCACCGGCTTACACGCGATAGTCGTCCACGACTACGTTGGATAATCTTACGGGATACTTATTTACATTTTCCCGGAATAGTGCGATCCCATGTGGGACGGGGGTCCCCCCCTCATGTGAGGCTGGTGTTTGGCCGTGCCGGAGTACCGGCTTCCCGGCCTGGAGTGCACGATGGCGTAATGGTCGCTGTTGGTCGACATAGATCTGGTCGAGTTCATCGTGGACCCGCCGGACGCGTATCCCGGTTTGCCGCCATTCAGCGAATACCTATATGTAAATACACACAAACGGTATAAGTAAACTATTTTTCAACAACGTCAATCGATCGACAGAGATTTTAGTGGACAATTTCGACTGGACTCTTGGCGGCAATAATTTTACTTTAGGTAGATGACAAATTTGTAATAATGAAGAGTAAGAAGTGTATTAGGCCTATTAAGTACTGTGACGTTAAAACTTTGGGAATGTCTGTTTTACCTGGAACCGTACTGTGATCCGTGCCAGCTACGGTATGGGTCGTAGTCTTCGATGATGCTGGGCTCCTTCTCGATGATGTCGGTGCGGGCGCACGAACACGTCATGGCCGAGCACAGGAACACGTTGATGACCAACATGATGAGGAACATGAGCCCGAATGCAATGCACAGGTAGAGCAGCCACGGGGGCCGGATGCCGCCGTCGGCGGGGTCGTCGCACAGGGTGAGGCTGCGCGGCGTCTCGCCGGGTTCCAGCACGAACACGCTAGTGCTGGCCAACAGCGTGCCCTCTTCAGGCGTGGCGTCCGTGTACACGTCTTTGGTCTGCTGCAGCGCCAGCGAGTTGGTGGACACGTCGTCGCAGTCCGGTTCCGTGCACACGCCCCGGCACACTTCGATGTCGCACTGGAAGTGCAGTTCCGAGCTGTCCGGGAACCGGAACATAGACGCCAGCGTGGCGTCTGCGTGCCCCGACTTGGGGTCGTACTTGAACGGCGTGATCACTTTCGTGTTGGACGGACATCTAGAGAACATACAAGGATTTATTATTATTTACCTATCTAGGAAAACCGAAAATGTCATTAGGGAATTTGCGTAAAGATTAAATATAATAGATTTAGATATCTTATTTAGATACAATTTTTATCGATAGACAATAGACAATAAAAAAAGTCTTATACGGCTGCTATACAAAGATTGCCCAACACGTATAGCAAATGAAAAGGCGTTCGTTTGAGACACTTCAAAAAATTTTTTTAATTTTTTACCGTTATTAGAATTCAATTAGGCAAATGCGCGTATTAGCGAGCATAACACGAGTCATGTTAAAAATCCGTTCGACTTCCGACAATGCTGGCGAACGTTCAGAATCGGTACCGCTATGGAATTGTGAGTTATTGTATAATATGTATATTATTATTGTTGTAGCGATCATCGATTATATTATACCTATTATAAAATAAGAAAAAAAGGTCGTGTCGCGTTTTCGTGCGGAAGGACGACAAACCAATAATGATACAAAAAAAAATAAAAAATAACTGCCTACCCAAGACGGAAATTAGTCAACTAAAAAATAAAAATATAATATAACCACACGATTGTGTTACCTACTGGAAACCGGGGGGGGGGGGGAGGGAAGAGGAACGGACCTACTATTATACAGTTGCGATAGGGTTCACTTACCCGCGCTCGTTGATGAGATTGACGCTGTTGTTCCTCTTGTTGAACGCGAAACAATTCTTAACGCGTATACCATAGGCTCCTGCAATTTCAAATAATACATTTTTACTACTACACATTCCTCCGTCAAAACAACCAGTGTCGTGTCATATTATTATTGTATCGTCATTGTCAGGTAATGGATGGATGTTGTCCGCCGCAGACGGATTTGCCGACTACATTTCAAACGATTTTCTATTTTTCTTTTAAGACCATAATTTTTTTGTCCATACATAATATTGCGAGTACCCAACTGCAGGACAAAAAACCATTATGATACTAGTAGTATCCACATAAAATACTGGGCTACCCCGAGTACCATTGACCCTTGGGAAATACTCGGTTTGTATTCCACGGGCTACTCTAAAAGTGTCTTAAAAAATAATATATGTCCGTCAAATATGATAATATGCCTATTACTGATTACACTAATAAACGGATCGACATGCCCTATCCTAGTGCTGTCCGACATTCATCACGGACATTCCGAGTGCTCGAGATGGTCATATTATGGAATTCCTGTAGGATTCCCGGAAGTTAAAAATGTCAACACATACTCAGTTGCTAATCGCAATCGAGTTCTTTTTGACAAGCATTATTACCACAGAAATATTTCCAAAATTGTAATCTTAGTATCATAGTTGGACGGAAATTCATTGAAAAACGAAAATCGTTTTCTAATTATTTTTTGTAAATAAGACTACACCTTTTTTAGAAAAGCTATTCGCATAATTAAAGGGACTGTGGCCGTCTAATTGTAAGAGTTTTAACCACCCAAACACATATTATGTAGCTCGATTGATAAATATTAGTTTTGTGCGCAGTTAATCTTTGAATATAAATTTTAATAAAAATATAGTGTTTCAGGATTAACTGTTTCATAATAATATGATCATACGGAAAGTTTTGTAAGGGTAAAGGTATAGTAATTATATAGTATTGTCGATATAGTATTGTCAAAAAAAATCCTAAAACTTGGATGAATGTCGATATTATATATTATCTTCTATAACGAGTTTATATAAAATATTTACCATATTTTAGTAATAATAATATGACGTATTAGCCGATAAGCTTAGGTTAGGAAAATGTTAATAATATGTAATATTGTATAGCATTTGTTATACGACGACACTTTCTATTTTTTTTTTATCATTCTCGCTAACATTTACTATATTATAAATTATAATAACAATGAAAATAAAAAACTCAAAACCTACCGTCGGGTCTGGATATCTCGGCTCTAAGCGTGTACGGATGACTGTAAACAACTTCCTGAATTCTTCTGCCGTTCTCAAGGAATTTTAACGATACCAACGACGTCTCATTCCTATAGAAAAACAAAACAAATATACAGTATGTACAGTGTATATGTTGTCGTTTGCCGACGTTTTCCACTCTTTTTAAGTAGAAACGATTTTCGAAAATATATATATATATATTTTTTTTTTAGAAATTCGCATCACAATACATAACAATATTATGTAATAACCCATTTAAACCCCCGTGGCATTATGTAGAGGCTATTGGACGCCGTACGTACTTGGAATTCTTGAACCCAGCCTTGCCGCATGTGATCACGTAGAACTTATCGTCGGCAAGTTCCAGTGTCCTGTGTATTCTTATCGCAATTGGCACTGATCTCTCTTCGGTTTTCTGAAAAAAAAATCATTCAGTTTTCACTTAGGGTAGGCAAGAGGTATCAGTAATTTTACACACAAATGAGATGGAAGATGTGAAAAGAGGCTGAGACACCGTACTCGCTTTGAAATTCAAAAATTCGCAACACAAAATACTGGCATTTATTTTGGTCTTCGAATTTTAGCAATAACTTAATAAATTAAAATATTTATCTACGGTCATCATATTATTTTCAGGTAGTGCCGAAAAGTTGTCATTTTTTAATTAAATCCAGGAACAAGTGTGAACTAAATAAAAAACCTAGCCTGAAAGTTCTAAAATGTTTAAAATGTTTATTCTTAAATAAAATCCCAAGTACGATTATTTTAAAATCTAGACTATTTTCCCGCGACTTGCAGTTAAAGCGTTTATATAAGATAGTTAATAGAGAGACGATTTCTAGTGCAAACTAAATGCAATTAGCAACGTTTACAAAGAACATAATTTTTACAAGTACAAAACAATGCAATCATAATATATTTCCTGCAATTAAATACTAATAATATCTAATTCAGTCGGTCAGAAGACAAGTTATCTTATGCTAATGGGCTACAAATCTTAAAGGCTAAGTTCCCGTATGGTTTACATATATTTGTGTTTTTTCAAATTGAATTCCTATGCGTAATCATATTAAAACTATTAAACCGTATTCTCCTTCTTAAACATTGCACGCGGTATAGAAATGTATCTTACGTCGAAAAAAGCCATCTCCTTCCAATCGCAATTGGACTTGAGGATTTTACTGAGTATCGTGAAAATCTGTATAAGTCATAGTTATACTAATATTTAATACATGGGATAGAATAGTCCCTACAGTAATCTAATAAAGGTCTCTCTCACTCTCTCTCGTCATTCGAGATAGTAATTTATATTTAATTTTTATTCCGCGTCCAAAAATAACGGCGTTTAAAAGCCTTTATAACAGTAAGTAGTAGTAAAGATAATTAACATTTATCACGTTTAATGTAGGTAATATATAATAGTATAAATAACGTTGTAACGACAGCTTCGAGTTGTCGCATTACAGTCGGACTCGGTTTAATTGCATAACTGTAATAGTGTAGCGACACAAAGTATTTGGAACAACTGACAACAACAGCGGTGTCAACTCGGCCATTCCGAAATGTAGACACCAAAATCTCGGCCGTGTACGGTGTAATGTTTTTATTTCAATTGTATTTTTTTTATTTTTTTTTATTAGACATGCTCGCGTAATGAATCATTTTTTTCATCGCCTCCACGGATCATCTGTGCTGCTGCCGCCATATAATATTATTTATCTATATACAAGTACTTTCCCTCCAAGGGGCTAGGCTTCATCGGTCGGTCAGCTGCTCAACCATAACCAGCTACCGCCGCTGTATGTTTTTTTTTTACATTTATTTACACAATATCAACATAAATATTATAACACTAAACTCACAATGTTCAGCCTGCTATCGAAAAAGATAATTGAATCATTCATCAATAGTTATCAAATATCATCAGCATGTTTCTAGCAAACTAGAAGGTATTATACAACCCATCTCAAAGAAATAATAAATTTAAACATAATATCCATGATCGGTGGTGTATATTTTTGAACAACAAACTTTTGAATAGGTGCATCCATTTAGAATTTGTTTACAACCAAACCAACCCCTTATTGAAGATGGTGAGCTGTTTGATTTTTTTATAAATTCCAATGCATTAATAACTTTACTATTTTAAACGTTGTATTCCTCTTAGGTATATAAAACCCTTGATGCATTTTTAATAAAACCTCAATAATAACAGAAGTATATTTTTAACAATTAAATATTATACCCAGTTGTTTAAAAACCGGAACACCAACAATATTTTAGTTGAAAAAAAAAATCAAACAAACCGATTGGATGTTATACAAAAACATGCTTACCGGTTCTGTGTACGAATTTAGGCATAATATTATAATAGTTTAGTAGTTTGTAGTTTTTAATTAATTCAGACTGATGATTTGTTTGTTTTATATCCGAGGTCAATGTAATTAATGTGAAGCATATCTAGCTTGTGCTGTGGCGGCAACGTGATACGTAAAGAAGTATTAAACATAAAATATAATATTTAATGTAAAGCTTTAAATTAGAGTCTGTACCTACATAACGACTGGTTATCATGAACGTTCGATCTCACCAAAGAAACTTTTAACGGCACTTCACTCTTTTTTTTAAAAGACGTCATTAAATTGTCAAAACAACCATTATGTAAGTTATTAATGAAGTAAAAAAATAAAACAGAAATTTATGCGCCAATTGAACTTTACGAAAACTATTTAATAGAGTTATCTTACCGCTTTGAGTATAGTATTAAATAATAAATATTATCGTTTTTTTATTAATTCAAATATTATACAGAACCCATTAAAAAGATAATAAACGTACTAATGCACCTGTTGATCCGCATTCATGTGAGATTATGTTTTTTTCTAAATAAGGGCCATTCCATGTAAAATAAACGCATCGTTTTTCATTCGTAGTTCGAATATTTTCGAAACTTTTTTATTGATAATAAAAATAAAAAGAGTGTTTGCACGATTTTGGCTCTGTAAGTGCATATTTTCGTGTGTACTAAGCAAATTAAAATTTCACAGGCGAATTAGTCAATTGGTCACCGGCAGTGGAAATAAATAATGATGTCATTTATTCTTGGTATACATTATTATGTACACTATAGGCGTATATAGCTTGTTGTGTCTATGCTCTGAGGTATGTTTCGTCGTGACATGAGTAAAACGACGTTTACTAACCAAACGACGGCCATAACGGATTTTTTTCTCGGTTCTCCTCAAAACAATCGGAATGTCGGAAAACTGTTACAATACAAAATTGGTTTGTGTTTATTTTTACTAAAATAATTTTTAAAAAAAACGGCGGAGAACACAGATATTAACGAAGTGTCATCACGTTAATGTACCTACACGGAAATAAGTGGAACTGTTAAGTACACTGAATCGGTGCAATCAATACGCATGCATTTGTTTTGATGTCAAATAATATTATATTACATGAAATGATTGTCATTATTAAGACACCGGTAAATGCGCCTATTCAGATTTTCTAACCGAGAAAACTATAAGAATTTTTATATAATTTAGACTTGGATACTTGGATAAAGTACTTTTGTAGTGTATTGTGCAAAATATAAAAAAATCGACGAACTAGAGTAACAATAAATGGGGAATATATCAATTATTAACAACAAATAATAGTATAGTGGACTGCATTTGTGGGGTTTAATTTGCATTTTCTTATTCACCTCTAATTAAAAACTGAAGATAACGTATTAAAAAAAAAAAAACACATTGGACATTAATTTCCAGTTATTCGCATGAATAGAATTCCTTGTATTAATTACCATTATCTTATTAGGTCATCCGGTCCTTACAACAGACAAAGTAATTGTCGGTCCAGTTAGTTTTAAGTTATGTAAATCGTATTCAAACCGAAACGTTACAGTTTTTCTCAGCCACTAAGAAAGAAACCGACGAGAGGGTTTCGTGTCCTCCTAATGCATACTGATTAAGAAAAAAAACCAGTACAGTGGGGTCGGTGCATAGTGGGGACGGGGAGGTCACAGGTTTACAGGAATTTTTAAATCTGAAAGTGATAAAATCACTTAAATGATTGTTTTAAATGAAGGTTCTGTATTTACAAATGAGCATCAAAGCGTTTATTTGAAAGCGATTTTATCTGAGAGGACTAGTACAGTAGAGTATTGGCATAATGTAATCAAAGCAATGAGGAAACGGAGAGGTCACAGGTCTACAAGAATTATTATAAATAAAAAAAGTGATAAAATTGAATAAAATCACTTTCAAATAAACGCTTTGATGCTCATTTGTAATTATAGAACCTTCATTTAAAACTTTCTAACTTTGCTGGTTTATACTGTGCTTGGTTTGGACTGTACTGGCTTGAAAATACTAACTACCGATTTGCATCGAAGCGTTTTTTCGAAAGTGATTTTATCACTTTCAGATTTAAAAATTCCTGTAAACCTCTGACCTCCCCGTCCCCAATATGCCCCGACCCAACTATGCTCCGTCCCCACTATGCACCGACCCCACTGTACTGGTTTTTTTTTTGTTTTTTGCAAAAACTTAGTGGACCAAATAACACATATACAATGTCTTGTTATATTTTGTTGGAATGGTCAACGATTCATGTTTCAATCGTTTGTACTCCATAGTTTAAATTATAATCGCTTATTCTCAATAAAATTAATATTTATGTATTATATACTTCCATTAAAGCAATCTCACACAAACTATTTATACTTCATAGATTATATTATTTCAAAGCTATATTATACTTCTATTTTACTAGATTCACAATGTACAAAATAAAATGCAACTAAAAAAACCTTTTCATAGATCCTTAAAATGTAAAGGGTGGGATAGTGAAACGGGTTTTACCATTTAAATACATTAGAAAATCACCGTTTTACTGCCTCATCCTGTATATTAATTTCTTGTTATTTTCTAAAGAAAAATGGATTTTCTTACATTTAAATTAAAATAAATCGTATACTGGTACTGTGATGGAGAAAACAATAAATTTTACATATATATATTACTTATTAATTAAATATTACTAACGTGTATAGCCACTAGCGGTCGGCTGTTGCCTGTTATTTAACAATAACCTTTTATGGAGATTTTAAAAATTGTGTTTTTTTAATAATAGCATAGGAGCAGTATCATGATGTTAAATGTTCACGAGATTTGATCTAGTCATAAAATAAAGTATTCTGGGAATAATAACTATAGACCTCAACATTTAACCAAAAACGTTTTCAGTCTTCGTTCGCATCCAACTTGTCCTCAACCACCGCCTTAACTTATTTTCACTGCCATCAGTGTCACAACTAAGATAAGACTTGGGCACATTTACACCTTTTTTTGTCTTTTCATGTCACACGACAAAACATGCTCGCTGTGAGAATTTAATAAAAAAAAAATGTTTTTTCTCATTTGATTCTAATGTTGTAATGATGTACAGGATAGACAGGACCGAGATAAATACACGAATAACATTTATTTATATATGTATTATACAAAGTTCTCCGAAAAGAGTCGTCGAACGGCACATGTCATCAGTTTTTACGATACATAATATATAAAAATTTACTATCGTTCTATGTGTGTCTATATATATTTCAAATTGGGATGTATATCACACGGTCATTTTATTATTATGTATCGATATAAACACACCGTGAAATTGGATATCAGTAGTTTTTCTCACATACACACTGACAGTACAACAATAATAGTGTAACTTGAATTATGTTATGTTTGTCAGCTCGGCAAACGGTACTTGGGTGTGTTTTGTGTGATGGCCGATGGACTTGTAATAGAATTTCGGGACAATCGCATTTACTGTGACGTTGTTATTGGCGTGTAAATGTCAAAACCGATCTGGGGCCGTTTACATGGTATACTCAGATGTACTCACGTTGTTGACGAATATGCCACAGTAGTCTGACGATCCCTGTGTGGCCAACAGGTTGATGCCAAGAGTGGTGAGTTTGGTGCCGTTCCCGTAGCTCAGACAACTGGCTGTCCTGTGGTCTCTGGCGTGTACGGCTCCTGTGAGGAACAATTGTGAATTAATAGTTTTCTAATAGTAATTTGTACTTATCATCAATTAATATTTGACATATACCCATCGACAGAATGGGGTTTTAGAAAAGAAGTGGCCCCCGTCGTACTAAACGAACCCCAAACAGAACAGCATGGGATGTAATTAATAGTCTTATGAGACTTGACCTATGATTTTGGTCAGTCCATACTAAATCATTCAGACTGGTTGTTCGGGCATTTTGTGTACAATTGTGCAATATTCGAGAGGAAGTCCTGCGTCAAATCTACGGGTCTTGGAGAGATCAAAGCTTAGGTCATATGAAAGAAAAACAAACCAAGATCTAAGAAATAGATCAGGAAAGGAAGATATAGTAACAATAATGAAAAACAGAAGATTATACTGTGTACGCATGTGTGGAGGGCACAAAAGCAAATGATCCGGGAAGTGGTAAAATTGGTCCCTTATAGTAAAAAACCATTAAGCGCACATGACAAAGATGGATGGATAAAGTTCAGAAGGATCTAAACGTGTTGGGAAAAAACTATGGCAAATAATTGGCGACTGATTGGGAGAGATGGAGAGGAGTGGGCGTTGCGGTAAAAGGCCTGAATGGTCTATATAAGGTCAACAAAGAAGAAAAATAATTACAATTGTCACAAAAGTATAAGAAAGTCTAGGAGAAAAATTAAATTTGTAATATCGTCGATCTAGAATAAGAAAAACGTTACAACCAATTGAAAAAAATTAATTTTTTGTTTTTAAAAAGTGCAAGACCGGTTCTTTAGTAGTTACACTTTATATTCGACAAAATAAAAGTTTCTGTAAAAAACTTGTATTTATTTTAAAACAGTTTTATAGAATTCTTAATAATAAAAGTTTTACTAAAAGAGTAGATTTCACAGATTTTTGTATAATAACTTATTTAAAAAACTTTAATAGTCGACCCCAAGTAGTTGGGAGTGTAAGGCGAAGACGAAGATTTAAATAACTTTTATAAAACAAATTAACAATCACTTTTGATATGTAACCTGTTTGAAAAGTTCTATAATTTTTTCAAGCCCTGATTATTATTTTTTTTTTTAAAGTTTTTAACTGATTTTATGTTATGTCTATAGTATCCAATGAACGTTCCGAAGCGGGAAATTTGTGAAGGGGTAATAACGACGTTTATGGGGCTGAGTCCCTCAGGTTCTCCATCGGTTATGCCGATGATCTTATTGTGTGTATACGTGGGCGGCTGTAGACTCGAGGGCCGGTTGCGAAACGACCGAAGCTAATGAAAACTCACCGCAGATAATATATACATTGTATGTGATAAATGCGTTCAATTTTCTCGAACGTCAAACGGTTCTCTCTCTGTTGGTTTTCATAGGAATCGTTCCAAAACTGTATTACGCACACTTCGCTGCTGTATATCAAATTAAGGTGTAATATGACGTCAATAGCGGTGTGTAAAACGTCTAAATAAATTAATAATTCACAGAACGACGAAAAACGAATTGCAAGCCGCGTGTAATACGGCACAATGAAATCTACGTGCGTTAACCATTAAAGATAAAAAAACCAATAGAAATTCGTCCAATATGTTTAGGCTTCGATGCGGAGGTGAAAAAAGAAAGCGTATTGATTTTCCAATGCAATAAGCCTATGTAGAACTGACATCGTACACCAAAAGTACTATATTAGGCCAAAAGTAGAAAAAAGTTCATCTTCTTTAAATTTGCGAAAACCATTTTAAAAGTTGACAAACTGTTCTTTTTTGAAATACAACACTAAAAAATGTTTTGGGAAGTGATTTTATTATTGCTTATAATATATTTCTTTAGACATGTAATATCTATATTGATTTTTTTTTTTGGTCAACGGTTAATATGATCAATTTTTCCAGATTCAGGTATTTTAAACACTTCTGTTCACCAATTACAGCTATCAAAGAAATTTTAAACCTAAGCCATACAAACTACAGGCATGATATACATGTCTAACAAATATAGTGCTCTATTTCCAAGTGCATCCATTTATTTTTTCTATGTATGACCATTTTATTTTTATTGTAATTATTTAAAATTAAAATGCTTTTTTTATGAAATTTTGTTGCGGTAAATGGAAAAAAACATGTGATAAAAACTATAGTTTATGACATGAATTATTAAATGATGTCGGTTATTTTAAGATAATTTTACCAACAAATATAATTCTAGAAATGTTGAAAATAATATGAACACAATATTTGTATATTACTTAACATTTTCTCTGATGTGTCGCGTGAGTTCTACTCTGCAAAATGCATGTGTATTTATGGCAAGCATACCGAGAAGGTAAACCGGCAGTAGATTTGCTCTTATAATGCGTTGGTTAGCCAGAGCGGAAGTAAAATTGTAGGTGTAAAATGTATACTATGCGTCATCAGATGTTTGAGGCAGAGAGGACAAGGGAGTGGGCGCAAATTCTTATGTACAACGATGACATAATTCTAAACAAATGTCAATGTATACACAATGTGTAATAGTGTGCGAGGATACGGTGTAATTAAGATTATAATTTTTCAGAACATTTTTTAAAAATATTTTTCTCGTAGCGAGGCCCAAATGAACGCGATATTTTTTTAATGGTATTATATGACGATACAGAAACATATACACACGATTGATCTATGTGCGCGTAGATCATGGATTTTCGAGGACGTGTCTACTAGATGTGGTCCTCATGGGTTCGTTCAACTATTGTCAGTAATATACCTAACTAATGTAATTATACCTAGTACGCAGTGTAATTTTAGGAGGATCGATAATTGCAGTGAATTCGAGAAGAATAAAACCATTTTGTATCTACCAACCATAATAATTATTGAGCACGGTTACAGCGCAGTATATTACTGTTATTATCATGCATGTATTATTTTACATTAATCCTAAGGGTCATCTCATGTTATACCAACAATACAATTTTTAATTCTTATACATGGGATAAAAAAATATTTTCGGAATTCCAAAATATTATTTCAAAAAATTGTCACTGTCATCAGTTTACTTTATTTAAACCAGCAAGTGTGTGATTTTTTTGTTGGTGGTGAAAATATGATTTATAGCCATAAAAAAAAGAAGAATAAAGTGAATTAGAATAGTAAATAAAAATGCAACCCCCACACAATGCATACCAAATAAAATGATCTCAAAGTGATAACTGTAAATGTGTGCATAATCAGAAACAGGAGTGGGAAAATATATAGTTTTCAAAATAATTCTAGAACAAAAATTGTTTTATACAATTTTGTAGTATAAGTGATATTTGATGAGTGGATTTGGACTGGGAATGATGCAGTTTATGTATGTATCTAATATACGGGTCGTTCGTGATTGAATGAATAACGACTTACTAGGTTTTTATTTACTATGGACATTTTTTTTTTAAATGGTAAAATAATTATGTTACTAGATGACCATAGCTATTTAATAGTTTATAGAGACTGAAGGTCTCTAAACAATTGGCCTATGAATAGATACAAAGGAACTACTTTTTTTTTTGCACATCCTATATGAGTCAACTAACGGTTATTTTTAATGGCTAACCTTTATAAAGCAATTAAAACGATTTTAACATTTACCGGTCGGTCTCGTCTCGTTTATTATAATTATTATTATTATTATTTTGAAGGGGTTTTTGTACTTAAAAGACAGATTGTGCACAATTAGATGTGCATTAGATAAAAAAAATAATATAATAATAAGCGGCTTACATCGTCAAAAATCAAAATAGCGGTTATTAAACCTACTGTTTTTTTAAACTTAAAACAAAAACTCATCGTTGTAAAACCGAAAAAAAATATCTACTACGAATAAGCCAAAACAAAAAGGTGTTCACTTTAATGCGTTGTTTAAAAACCTAAATTGGATTTTAATAGCGGGCCAATTGTGCGTATGTGTTCTGGTGGTACACAAACGGTTAGCTTAACATTGATAATAGGTAATGTTTTTTCATATTGTGCAATGTACTTTGAAATCCATTAATAGAACAGAGGCCCAGGCGACTAACAAAAATACAATCATGTGTCCTCGTGGGTCGATTTGGGAGTTGCAAGAATCGGATGAACCAGTCAGTGCAGTGGGAAACAACGGTCGTGATGTGTTAATTTCACAGGCATGCTGAAACTTCTGTAGCTTTAGAAGGGCCCATGCATTATTTTTAAGTAGGCTGAAAAATCTTAAAAAAAGTAAGGACCAAAGTATATCGATGAAAGGTCCATTTTTGTTTAAAATTATTATAACACTGGATCTATTTAAATTGTTTTGGATAAACATTTAATTTTGTATTCTTCTTTGGCCAATGTGTAATAAAACCATATGACTGAAATTAATTTTAAACTTTTATCATATTTTTCGTAATTTTTGTATTTTTTAATTTGTTTTTATTTGCATATATTTAAAGATATTGTGTATGTATTTATACTTTTATTATTTAAATTTACTTAAAATTTGGATGTGTTAAATTTAATTAAATGCCGCAAATCTTTAAAATACATTTTATGCTGATATATAAGGTACATAAATATTAAAAAAAAATAGTCAATAAAATATTTGATACATTTTTTCTGATTTTTTATATTTGATATTGTGAAATCTTAACAAAAAATATTAAAGAATTTATAAATCCCAAAAGTGTGAAAATCAATACTCTTTATTATATCAGCTTTAACCGAATTATTCGTTATTACATAGGTCACAGTACTTTAGAGAAGTTACACTAAATTTTTACTTTTTGGACATTTTACTCGTTGTCATTTTTATTCTTGGTTAATATAATATTATCACTATCTATTATATATATTATTATTATGTCAATATACTTATTACTACTTTTGGCTTTTCTAGAAATTATCTTTTAAGGTTGTAACTTTTATCGCATCGACCACTTTTATATTTTAGGAATATATAGTATGTATTATTTACCCTTCAGCACCGGTACTTATAAGAACTTAATTACTATTAGCGAGGAGACTAGTACAGTTGGCTTCAAGCTCTACGATTTAAGGCCGTGCACATTTATGGTTATATTTAGAACATGACAACGAACACCATTTGAGCAAAAATGACAATAAGAAAGAAAAGAGTGAAAACAACTTGTGTATTTTTTTTTGACATAGTAACGATTGAGCGGACGTCGAACCTTTCGATTTCATAACATAATAATATTTTAATTTTGACATTTTATTTTATAGGTAAGTGTGTTATGTAAAATAAAACAAAATAATATTATTTTAAATGTGCAATCGGCATTCCGTGACATGTTCGACGTTAAATGCACACGGTTATGGTCAGATCGTCGTGTATACCTACACATAATAATACACTTAATAAGGAAGGCGTATAGTGCATACACAATGAACGACTCGGAGGTAACAAAGCAGAAAAATACAAACAAAATACAGCTTAATGATACCGCACCGCCGTTGTCCGTGTGTGTACGTTACACATTCAAATTGGCTTTAAATTACCGTAAAGACCACTGCTGCGAGACATCAGATTAAAAAACACAGGCTTAAGTATAATATACTGTGGGCATTTTGTTATATGAGTTTAAAACTTTCAAGAGTTGATCAACCGGTATTGGTCGGTGCTGTTATATATTTATGCTCAAGGGCCACAACGATGGTAAGATCTCAGCTCATTTACAATGCAAGGAAAGATTTAAGTATATAACAATATATTATTAATTATTTAGAGCTCGGAAGCTGATGATAGAAAAATACTAAAATTAATATTTTACCTAAAATGGTTTTAATATTGTCAATAATGATAAAAAATAACGAGTTACTCAAAACTGTCGTTAAATGTTCTCAAAGAGTGAATTTGTTAAGTACCAAATGCTTAGAAAATGTTGACCGGTGACATACAAAAAATATACTCAACTTCCCTATGAAAACTCAATGAAGACTTCAAAGCGGCAAATACTAATATATAAGACTAACAGTTAATACGCATTAAGTTTATTTACTGGTCTTAACTCTAATATAACTTTAATATCGTGTGTCCGGTATGAATCTATACAAGTTAATATTTTTTCTCTGTTGTAATGTTATGTGTGAGTAACACGGTTTATTCAAATTTGTAGCTTCGCTGAGTCAAACAAACGTGGGCTTTTGTTAAGTTTCCTTGAAAGAAAATAACCCTGGACCACGCCTACTAATAAGCTGCCTTCGAACGTGAAAATAAACGAAGACAATAATAGGTACGTACAGCGTTCTGTAGCATTCATACCTACTCTTCAAATATGAGTATGCAATTGACTAGACACTAAAGTTAAAATAACTAAACAAACATCTATTTTTTAGAATGAAATGTATAAAAACGCAGATAATTTCATTAAATATTTATAAATAGCTTAATGGTTTTTTTCATTAATATATTATAAAAAATTAGCCTATAATTTTAGAAAGCGTACAAAATGTAGTTGGACAATCGCAATACAATCTGTATTGCATTAACATCTCATCTTTTAATTAAAATCTAAATAACGTACCGTGGTCGCTATACGTTTAGAAAACAAACAAAAACCGGAAAGTTAACGGAGTATACACACATTTTAACGCATTGAACGCACATTTTAATTTAAAAAAATATTAAAATATATTAATAAATTTAAAATTCAAGTCGAAAACATTAAAATCAATGCATCACAAAATTGAATAAAATATACAAAAACCGTTAGATTTACTTCAGAAAAAAGTTGTATTTACATCCAATTGAAATAAAAATTAAATCGTTGGTTTTATATCAATAAAACCGTACAGTTATTTCCAGTAGAATTTTGCACTCTATCTGACAATAGTACGCTGGGACTACCCGCAGAGCTCATTTTACATCATTCGTTACTGTCAAATTTACGTTTTGTTTTGCTTAAATAAAAAAAAACTATGTGCATGACAATAGTGCACAGATATATGTGTCCTTTGTCCTTAATTATCGTGTAATTAGCTTATTATAACGTCCGTTAGGCGTAACAGTGTATGTAATTGGAATAATGATAATAAAAAAAAAATGCAAAAACAAAAAACAATGTCAACTCACCGACAAAAGGCTGGTTGGTCGCCACTTTAATCGTCATGTATCCAGCTTTGCACGTGGCCGTAACGGACGGTATGAACTCTTGTTCCACAAGAGTCTGTCCATTTATAACCTGGAAAAATAAAAACTTATTTAAGTATCATTAAATACGCTTTATCAAGTTTTCCAAATACATAATATACCTATTATTGAGAACCACCAAGTGGGAAGGAAAGGCGCAAGGGCACTCGGTTCCCTACTTTTGGAAAAACACCTTCTTTGGCATTTACTCTAAAAGGTACTGTATAATAATTTGAGGCCTCCTTAAAAATGTTTGGGTTTACACTTAACATCCTTAGGCCAACTTGGTTTCTAGAGGCACTTATTCGTCTCCTGTTTCATGATTCAGTACAAAAATATATAACTTTAAAGTTATTAAATTAAAGTGTACAGTATTTTAAACGTGATTAACGAGTCGGATTGTCACGACTTGCTATACGTGTAGCTCGTTTAGGCGCGGTAGCTAATTTATTTGTATTTTTATAATTTTGGAGAAACGGGAAGACGCGGGTCTGGAAAAATGGAGAAATAATGTGTCGTGACAATTACAAATTAGAACTGATGACGACAAGCGGCTTAACGAAAAGGTCATGGATTCCGGCTAAGTGCATAGTATGGTTATTGGATCTTTTAAATCAACGTTCTCATGTGTATTCCGTGTAAACTCACCAAGTATAATTTACATTATACTGTAATAACGTGAATCGACCTAACTCTAGTGAATCACATATTTATAGGATTATTTATATTTATATACATTATTATTCATACGTTATGTCACCGCGCGCGGATTGCTCAATATTCCTGTCCATATTCATTATTATCACAACCACGGCGATGCGAAGTCGTACCAGTTTAGAGCATATAATAATAATTATTATTATTATGTATTATGGATAAAAAAACAGCCATTGCTTATAAAGTTGGTAATATAATAAACTTATAAAACGACAGCGATCAGCTCTATTGAAGACGTTGCGGTTCGCGCGACCTTGGTAAGCGCACAGCTGCTTGCACTTAATAATATTAATAATATACGAGGAAATATGAGGATATATGAGCAAACCATATAGGTGTATATTATGAACCTACACCGGGTCGCGTTTGACCACCATTTAAGGATGTCCACCGTAGACTTGCGTAGGCGCTGTATAAAGATTACAGTGGAACACAAAGTCGACCGACGTCAGCTGCTCTCAACATGGCCGCTTTATATTAGGCGCGCCTAAACTTTTTACATTCCTAAGTTCAAGTCAAACTAAAAAATGTCCAATCACTTCCGCAAATCGATTCTATTCGTCTTAAGGTCATTTCCAAAAGGTTGGAATCGGTCTTCTCCGCACCTAATCATGTTGTAACCATAGACGAATAAGGTGATCGATTGCTTGTATGGGGACTACTAGAGTCCTTTGTTCTTCTATTACACACATAGCTTTTATAGTAACCTACAACCAGCTTTTCCGGATTTAAACGCCTATAATTTGGTCAACTTTAGGCTTGTTACTAAAGAACCAAATTGACGTGACGTGCCAGCCAGATAGCAAGTTAGGATAGAACTTAGAAGTAAAAAATGTAAGATTGGCGTTTTAATATTAAAATTCCTTAAAAAAACATTATTTGAACTGCACTTGGTACAACCAATTTCCTTGTAACTGTTAATAACATTTTCCTGGGTTAAAAAATACTCTTATTTCATACATTTTATTGCTTATCTGCTAAATTTCAACATTTTTTCATTTTTTTTGCGTAGTAACATCGGTATAGCCGCCATACCTTTAAATAGTTGTGAGCTTATCGCCATTTTCAATCTCTATTGCACTTATATTACCAATCTGTTTTCCTTTGCTTCTCGTCGTACTTGATTCGTTGCCAGTCAATTAAAATCTAGTTAACTGTATGTAATTAATATGCATATACAGCAGTACTCAGCGGTGTAGGTACGTATAAAGTTCACAAACGGTTTGAATACAATGAACCCGCGCGGACAATGATCGAATTGGGTTAATTACCGAAGGCAGATCCCCATCGCGTCGCTTAATTAAAATCCGCGAATGTCTATATAAATATATAATACTAATAGAGGATACATACACATGTATGTAATGTATGTACGTTATCATTACAATACGATCCGGTATCGCGGTGTACGAGCGCACGCAGCAGAGCAGGATAGGTAGGTCGTATTTTGATCGGTATAAAGTGTTGTCGTGAATCCCAAAGTCATTATCCACACGATTTTATAATACTCTATACAGCTGTACATGCGCATCAATAGTATACAATAATAAAATATTATAATAATTTTGTGCGCGCGCCACCAATACTAATAATCGAACCCGGCCAATGGTGGTGCCCAATACCTATCATAGGTCATAGGTGCACAACCGATATAGGCGGCCTCGTCTCTATAGAGCGCGTTACGATTATTATTTTTGTGCCTATACCATAATGTACATTAATTAACGGTCGTCACACATACTGTCTCGTGTAATTATCGATACAACTCCTCGGGTTGTCAATAGCTGATGGATATGCCCAATATGAGAGCGCAGGAAACCACCGCAGCGGTATTAGACGTATTTCATCAATAACAACACTAATAAGCCCGCTGCTGCACCGAACGATCACCAGCATATATGCAAGCCGAGTTCCTGTATACACCTATACATACCTAATGTGAGTTACCGTGCCTACGGAACCCAAGCCGGATAGTCCAGAGTCACGTTAGTTAATAGACGTCTGTGCGGTCAAACCGACAAATCATAATGACGGCACTAACGCTTATAAACTATAATATATAGTATACATTGTACTTGGCGGGAATCCTGCGCACACTGTAACAGGACCCTCGGAATAGCGGCAATCCAAATAATAGGCTGCCGTTCGATTTTCATAAGCCAAGTACACTATAAAGCATGTGTACTGTTTGTGTGCTGGTCGAGAGCGACCGGGGCATTAAAGTCTCCCGCAACATAAGAAGACGGTGCAAACGTGCGCGAAAAAAATATTCATCAATCACGATTGATCAACAACGTAGTACAATAAAACCATTCGGCGAAACGAACATATCACCGAAATAACTGGGGCGAATAACACGACGGTGGCAAATACATTATATTAATATAATAGTACAAGTACGGTGGCGATGATGGTGTAATCGTTCAAGCGACAGAACCTCGCGGTCCTTGTGGCGATGCTGCAGTTAATAGACGACCACATAATAGTCCCTATAATACACCATGTTATACGATAGTAACGCGCGTGGAAAAAAAATAATCTTTAATTTAAACGAAACGAATCACACATACGAATTATTAATATACCAGGTGTAATAAACTTTTTGAACACCCGGTAGAATACATAGAAAATTATCTACAACACTAGATACATATTAATTTTTTCAAATGGCATAATATTTAATAAACCAATGTATATTTATATAATAATATTAAGTAAAATTAAATAACCAGCGAAAAAATCCAAAGTAAATAATTTACAATGATGACTGTGGAAATGCATACATTTTAGTTTTTTATCTGTTCGATAGCTTCAGGAGTTGCATTAGAGGTATCACTGGACTTTTTATTGGGCTCCATGTGTAATTTGACGAGTGGCTGCAGTCAAGTTTAATAACCCTGGTTTCAAACAATGTCCAACCCTTCCATGTTTTATTCGAATGAGGTTTAAGAGAGACCATTCCTTCCGGTGGAAATCATGACGGAAGGGTTTTAGTACCCTCAATCCACATAGCTAAAATTAACTAGGTCTTGATTTCCGATGTGGACTATAACTGTTTATCAATCTGATAAAGGCGAAATACGGGTTTGGTTTCGCATTTGAACAAATACCTTAAACGTTTAATTGAAGTGTTCGAATAACGCCCAATGTGAATCCTAATAATCTGATGAATTTCTTCTATACATTTTCATCGGTACATCTAAAGGATCGACTTGGATATTTTAAATTATATTTTACCTCGAGCGGTTAGTTAAAAAATTCACATTTATACACACTTTCTAGATATTTTTAAAGACATAAAACTGTCACACATACTTACATATATTAACCAGCAAACCGTGTATAGCCGTTGTAATCAGCCAATCTTTGTTGGACTGATGGGTCTTACATCATCAAATTTCAATGCGTTTATTATGTGTAAATTTACGATGTGACGAGCACGTATACTTATCACCAAAATGGTCCATTCAGTATGTCTCCACTATGCATTTTATTAGGTTGACAACAAATTAGGATCATCTCCATCCGCTGTGCTCGTAGGTTCACAGCTGTCTGAACAAAACCTACCCAGATAACCTTCTGCTGGAACCATATAATACTGTTCTCTGTTGTTTTGTGCGGCAATTAACGCAGTACCGACATAGACTATGTCTATATAATAAGTGCCCGGCGTTATCAGCGAACGACCAATTTATCGTATATCATTATTATTGGTATGCATTCTTTAGTCGGGCAAAAAGAATGTGCGTTAGCGAGACCGGTCTCTCTCAATATACTCGCAGAGGAATGTCATTCGTGCGCAATTGTTCGGTTAACAGCACACACGCACAATTGCATAAACTGTCCTCATACAATGTACTCTCTTAAATGGAAAAAGTCGAAAAACAACCGCCGCTGACAGCCTTGGATCCGCCTATATTCGCCAAGATCACAGACCGACCGTCCACGTATCGGATCGTCCGTCAAACGATTTTCAACCGCATCGCACATAGGTACATTGATATTATTATTATGGCACATATGTGATAATAATATTATTATTAGATATCATGTATTGTCGTCGGAGTGGAATGTGGACGACACCTATTATTCGTCAGCCGTATAGTTGTTGTCGCCGAATAAGTTTATCAGACAATCGAATTTCGATTACAATATATTATGTTATAATGTAATATTATCATCTATGAAAAAAAAGATGCTCGAGACGTTTTAAATCGAACGTCACCACATACATGCGTTATCATTGCGTGTAATGTATACATGTTTCCTGCTCAAGGTGTAGCAGTTATTCGAGTCCTATTCAGTATTATAATATATCATCTCATAAACCGACCG